CGGTACCGGACGACCCCGACCCCCCGACCCCCGCCCCCCCCCGCCCCGCCCCGGGGTGCAGGAATTGGGGCGAATCGGATGGAATGGATCCAAAAGCCGTTAGGTGCTTGCCGTGTATTCGGTACTAGGTACTGCAGCCCACACTGCAGCCCAGTCCGCCACTGCAGCCCCACCACTGCAGCCCACCACTTCACGGTACCCCCACTCCCCACTGCAGCCCACTTACCATTGCAGCTCGCCGCTACAGCCTGCAGCAGCAGAAAATCACCGCAGCTAATAGGCTGGCCCCGCAGCCTCGTTCGACCCTGCGGACTGCAGCCTCGCCTGCATTTTGTAGTGACATTTACTTTCGCCGGCCGCCTATGGTGCACGCCGACACCGGGAGGACATTTCGAAAAAAAAAATTCGAAAGATTATCGACAGGCAAATGTCTTGCCTTGCCCGGCAGGCCGGTAAGGGGCGCGCACGCAAACGCCTGGCCTTGCCGAATGCCATCATCAGCACGGCTAAGCAGCGGGGTTGCCCTGTTTTGTGCCGTTTTTTTGCCCGCCGCATTTTCGCCAACTTCTCAACTTCTCATCGGCAGAGGGAACGGCAAGTTGTGACATTGCTCACGTGCCCCGTTTCCCATCATGCCCTCCGCCATGCCTGAACAGGGCGGACCGCAAACCCCTGATCGACACGCTGTTGGCGACAGCCTCATGTCCTTCAATGACAGCAACGGCAACGACATGTCTGCGCACATGAACGAGGCCTCTGCGTGCCCCTGGTGCAGCCTCGCGTGCCAAGCGTGTCACTACATTGACGAGGTGCTGGCCCTCAGCAGCAGCGACCTTTGCCCTTCTTCTGCCTACAATCAGCTCCGGCGGCTAGAAGCATTCACTGCTTGCGCTTCCAGACGTTCCCCTCTCCTTCCGCCCGCTGGACGGCAGCTTTTCGCGCGCTCTCTACTGCCCAGCCATTCACTGGTCAGCTCCTCGCTGCCCAGCTCTCCAACATTTGCCCGCCGTCCCTGATTGGTCACGCAGCAGTGGCAGCTCCCGCAGTGGGAACTGTACCAGCGCCAGGGGTACAAGCACACGCAGGACCAAGTCCACCAGCATCGCCAGCACCAGCAAGACCAAACCCACCAACAACAAGTCCACCACCACTACCATCACCACCACGACCACTACCCTCAGCAGTGGCAGGAACCTTAGGAGGGTCTTCGGGCGCTGGTCAATGCTGCGGCTCTGCAGCCTCGCGCCGGCGAGCAAGCTCGCGGCACTCACGGGATCATATCGGTGCCCCCCCAGCCTGTCCAACAACAGGGCTACGACAGCTACCAGACCATCTCGGACGAGGAGCTTGAGTCGGATGACGATAACCCTGGATTGACTGGCGATAACCCTGAATCGGCTGATGAGTCGGCTGATAACGATCTTGAGCCGGCTGACAACGACCTTTGATCATTCCTCGTTGTCCAATCCGCTTTTGCTTTTCCGCCCTACTGCTTCTGCAGCTTTAGCTGTTGTGTTATCGATGGATTTGCTTGGAACTATGCCCGGCCCCAGCCTTTGGTCGGATTTCCATGTACCTAGGTAGCTAAAACATTTCGTCGTTTTGCTTTTCATCATGCTCCCACATCTTTTGCCTTTGGCTGCAGCGCCAATTGGCCGCTTGCATTCCGGCTGGTTCCACTCCTGTATTTCACGAAGCAGCCACTCCAGCTGTAGCTGTGCCATCCCCTTCCACTCCCGTACCCGCGGAACAAAACCTCCGGTGGTAGCTGTACCGCTTCCGTGCATCCCTTGCCGCTTTCGTATCCGCGGAACAGGATTCCGGCTGTGGTAATGCTACAAACAAGCAATGCTTGCCAAGGCATCGAAAGGCACCTTGCCGTCGCGGCCGGGCGATGGGGCAACTACTTGCCGGTATTTGGCGGGCGGTGTGGCAAACGCGGCTTGCCGACGGGAGATAGGGGGCAGCTGATTGACGCCCAGCGCCCGATCTGACCCGGCTGCGATCTTTGGCTCCCAAAAAGTCTAGTCCTTTGGGCTGCCGCACCATGCGGCCTGCTTGTAGCAAGCCCCTATTCGAAACGCGCCAGCTTGCTGCATCGACCCGACCCGGCCACCTTAGCTTATTTCCAGCATTTCGGCCAGCAAGGCACCTTCCGCTGCACGGTATAACGCGGCACCACCGGATGCACGCGGCGGCTAGCTGGGTGGATGCCGCTATTGCTGGGCAGACGACACGACACGATGCAGTTATCTTTGCGGCTTTGTCGCTTTACTAGGCCTTACCGTTATGTCTTCTTTTGTTATGCCTGGAAGCGGGCTAGTTAAAGCCACAAGTGGAAGGTTCGTGAGGTGTCCGTTTACCTTCTAACAACCCGCCGGTCCGCGAGGCTCTGGCCCAAGAAAGATGGACCGGCAGGCGGCCGATCGTGAAAAAAAAAGACTGCATCCATGGGCATTTTTGGGCATCCCGCCGGCTCCCGAAACAGCAGCCTTGACCGCTTTTGTCGGCAAAGGAATACGACCCATGGCCCGCGGCGCGGCACCTCTGCATTCTCCGCGACTTGGCTGCATCGCTCTGCTGCTCCAGTGTCCCGGTACGGCTGGCCTAAATTGGCAATGGCGGTGGTGACGGGGCGCGGCGCGCCAGATGCAGGGCGTCGGCGGCGGCTTTGAACAGTCAGTAATCATGCGCATCATGAAACGTGCTCCTCCTCTGTTAGCCAATGGAGATGTGCTTTGCCTCACCGCCACCTCGGCTCACGACCTCGTCTTCAGCGCCTTGTGCGTCCGGCGGATGTTTTCCGCTAGCACCTGCCTTATTCCATGAGATGAAAACCCCTGGGTTAGGCTAGGACCGCGCAGAGTGAGCCAACAGCTTACATAAGTGCTTGCGCTATCGCCCGACGAATGGAAGTGGTGCTGTAGGAACTGGCAAGAGTCCTGACCACTTCTAGGTCAGCCAATCCAGGGATTCACCCGGAGAGATGCCATCACAGAGCAGACACAAGACCGAAAACGTCAACCAAGCGAACTCCAGATCCATTCGAGTCTCGCCATGGATGCGCGGCAGTCTGTGACCACCACGCACCAACGTGCAACGCCGGTAAACTATACACAATCCATTGCCCGGTCGAACCTGCACACAACAGTCCACCCTATGCGCTTCCACCATTGCGCTCGGCCTCAAGCTCACGCTCCGCTTGCCGGTAGTACTTTGCCGTGTCGATGCCGTGCTGGTTGTGGTTGACAAAGTTGAACCATGGCATAGCCCCCATAAAGAGCGTCGAGTAGCGCGACTGGCGCGCCGCCACGCCCTGCATGTTGGGCGTCAGCCGGGACTCGCCGTACAGGGGCTCGCCGGCCTTGACCTTGGCCACCATCTCACGCATGTCCATGTCGATCTCGCGCTGGTTCTCCGACATGCCGTAGAAGCGCACTGCGGGGCAAGTTAGTGTCGGGGTCGTGTGGACCAACCATCAACACGGCAAGGCACTCACAGCTAGATCGTGTATAAAAGTAGAGAAAGCCGCCGACGAGGCCCAGCCCGCCGCATAGCCTCATGGCCGGCGCAAAGCCACCCTTCCCAACGTAGGACGGCGAGAACTTTTCCAGTGCGAGGAGGATGCCGGGGCCGGCGGCCGCGGCGGTGGCGCCTGCTGCGTAGTCGGACGGGCGGGCATAGCCGACAACCCGCTTAAAGTGTCTGCGGCGTGCAGGTCAGCGAGCTGCTCAGCCGGCCGGCATGGCGAGGGAGCACCTACGGGTCGTTGTCGATAAGCTGGCCGTGTTTGGGTCGAGAGCAGGTTCGGACGCTAGGTTAGCCTCAACTGGTCGCATGTCGTCGCAGCATCGCTTGTGTCGTTGTTGACGTCGAGGGAGAGGAATTGGGGAGCGACGGCACGCACAGGATAGTCGCTCTTGGCGACCTTGGAGGGGATAAACGTCGGCGGGTTCTGGGTCGACATGGTGGCGACGCTCAGCTGTACGGCTCGATGTTTGTCGGTTCGGCGAGGGGCAAGCAAGGTCGTCGTCGAGTGCTTCAGCCGAGGATTGATCAATTCACGATTAATGGACCATTGCGCGGGCGAAGCTTGATTAGGGCCTGAGGCAGAAACAACGCCTGCAGCTGCCCCACGCTGCCGGCGGCAGGGACCGGACCCACTAAACGCGTGTTAAGTAAAGTGCCAATTGACGGCTGCTTCCCGACGCGTCCAGCACAGGCCTCTCAACCGCTGCTCCAGAGATATGCTCTAGAGATACTGCTCTAGAGATACTGCTCTAGAGATACCACAACCACCATGCCTCCCAAAGCAAAACAGGCGCTCGACGCCATCGACAACTACCTCCCTGATGGCGACGACTTCGAGGACCCCTTCGCCTCGCCCACAAACTCCCCGACCCAGAGCCCCGCCAAGCGCAAGGAACCCGATGGAGGGTTGGGTATCGACGAGGAGATCTCGGTCGCCAAGCGCGCACGGGTTCCACGGGTGAAGCTCGACGAGACTCGGTTCGTCCTTTTCTACGTTCCGAAATGGGCTTGGCAGCCTTGCGCGACCTAAGCTTACTGTCGATGCAGCCTCCTCTCAGACAAGGGAATACCAGCTCTTCGCAAACGAGCGGGCCAGCTCAAGCTCAAGGGCAAGGGCCACGAGTTCTCGGACGCCGCCCGCCTGCTGTCCTTCTACCAGCTCTGGCTCGATGACGTCTTCCCGAAAGCCAAGTTCCTCGACGCCCTAGCCATGGTTGAAAAGGCCGGCCACAAATCCATCATGCACAAGCAGCGCATGGATTGGATCAACGAATCGAAACCGAGGCCCATGGACAGCGCCGAACCAAAGACGGCATCCGCAGCTCCCGACGCACCAACAAGGGAACCTACCCGGATAGCACCCATCTTCGAGCAGCGGCCGAAACCTGCGGGAGACGACGCTCCCCTGGACGACGAGCTGGGTGATTTGTACAATGCCACCCCCGAGCCAGAAAGGCGGACAGGTGGAACCATTGGTGGGGAGCCTGATGATGAGGACCTGGATGCCCTGATGGCCGAAGCAGAGGCCGCGCCAGGGGCGTCAAAACCTCGGCCATCTGCACCCGCTGCCTCTACAAGCCTGTTTGGGCCGGGCACAAGTAGTTTGTTTGGGTCGGCCAAACCAGCAGCGCCGACTGTGAGCAGCGGCGGTGGGGCACCAGAGGACGTCGATGACGACGATCTGGACGCCCTCATGGCCGAGGCGGAGCTGAATGGCAAGCCAAATAGCGAGGCGGCAACAGGGGGTCAAGCCCCAGCTCCGGCTGGGACAAGCTTTGACGATGATGAGGCGGCCATGGCAGAGTTGGAGGGCATGTGGTGATTTTGGGCTAGTAGCTCATCGCGTAATGGATAAATAATCAATGATTGACGAGTCTGCATTGAGTCCATGTCGATATGCTACTCGATCTCAGGATCCCCACCAATTGCGTAATGTCAGCGGCTAGCGCAGCTGCTTGTGGGTCGGGCAGTTGCCCCACAGTGATGGTGATGGTGGGGTAGATCCAACTAGACGGGTCGACGTTGGCAAGCTCTGGGTGCGGCCACTGCCATTGCTAGCTGTGCTATGTCGCCCTTTCCCTAGCTCTAATTCCAAGGCACCACCGCCAGCAGCAACAGCCCGCCTGCCCAGCATGGCGACAGACCTCGCCGAGGCCATGGACCGGCTCCAGCTGGACGGCGACCTGGCGGACCCCATCGACGAGATCCTCTTCCAGCAGCAGTCGCCCAGGAAGCGCCGCAAAGAGTCGCCCGACGAGATCAAGGCGAGGCTTGAGGACAAGTACCTGACTCCGTCGCCAACCTTCTCGACCGCGTGGCTCGACAAGCTGCAGCAGTAAGCTCCTCCAGTCCCTGATATATCGCCGCCACAGCTGACGTCGTGAATTGTCAGACGCTGGGACGTCCCCGTCGACTATGGCTCGCTCTTCACCCTCCCGCCGACCCAGTCCAGGACCGTGGTCCGCTTCCAGCGCCAGGGCCTCGAGGGCCGCATCGTGGGCTACGACACGGTGACTGTGCCCGCCGCCAGCGCCACGGCCAAGAACTCGACATCGCTGCTCCGCAAGCCCGCCGGCAATGCCGACTTTGTGCGCGGCGCCGCCGGCTTCTTCCCCTTCGCCCCGGGCGGTCTCGATAGCGTCGAGGCCGCCGCCGCCCTGGACGACCAGCTGCTGCGTGCCTCGGGCGGTGACGCCTCGGCCTCGTCCAAGAACAAGCTCGAGCGTGTCCTACCGGTGGGCGACAAGGCCGGCCTCCTGCAGGTGGCACCGGGCTTGAGCAGGGGAATCGATTTGAGCCTGAGAAAAAAGTCGCAGACGGAAGAGGCCAACGCCACAGCTGTGCTGGATGAGCTGGACCAAGAGCCCGAGCCGAACCCGGACGGCGACGAGGACGATGCCGAAGCAGCCAGGATGGCCGCAGACGCCGAGGCGGATGGTGATGCGGACGCGGATGCAGATCAGGACGAGGAGCTCGACGCGCTCCTCCCCGTCGAGTTCCCAGCGCTCGAGCCGCACGGGCAGCTGGCGGCGTCGAGCGCGCGCAAGGCGGGACGCGAGTGGGCACACATGGTGGACGTTAAGCGCGAGTTCACCGACTTCCGCGAGCTGGTGCCCGACATGGCGCGCGAGTGGCCGTTTGAGCTGGACACGTTCCAGAAGGAGGCCGTGTACCACCTCGAGAACGGCGACAGTGTCTTCGTGGCGGCGCACACGTCGGCGGGCAAGACGGTGGTGGCCGAATACGCCATCGCGCTGGCGGCCCGGCACATGACCAAGGCCATCTACACGAGCCCCATCAAGGCGCTGAGCAACCAAAAGTTCCGCGACTTCCGCCAGACGTTCGACGAGGTCGGCATCCTGACTGGCGACGTGCAGATCAACCCCGAGGCCAGCTGTCTGATCATGACGACCGAGATCCTGCGGAGCATGCTGTACCGGGGCGCCGACATGATCCGCGACGTCGAGTTTGTCATCTTTGACGAGGTGCACTACGTCAACGACTTTGAGCGTGGCGTGGTGTGGGAGGAGGTCATCATCATGCTGCCTGACCACGTGTCGCTGATCCTGCTGTCGGCCACGGTGCCCAACACGTACGAGTTCGCCTCGTGGGTCGGCCGCACCAAGAAGCGCGACATTTACGTCATCTCGACCCCGAAGCGCCCCGTCCCGCTCGAGCACTACCTGTGGGGTGGCAAGGGCATACATAAGATCGTCGACGCCGACAAGAAGTTTATCGAGAACGGCTGGAAGGACGCCAACTTGGCCATCAGAGGTAGGGACAAGCCACAGGCTAGCGTTGCGAGCTCCGGATCCGGCGGTGCTGGAAACCAACGCGGCGGCCGTGGCGGCCCGCAACGGGGAGGCGCCGGCGGCAGAGGCGGACAGCAGAGAAGTGGACAGCAGCAGAGAGGTGGACGGGGCGGAGGTGGCGGCGGGCGTGGTGGCCAGGGACCTCCGCGTGCAAGCCACGCGCCCGGCCACATGGGCAGGGCTGGCCGGCAGGGAGGGTTCACGTCGATGGCGCAGGACCGCAACCTGTGGGTGCACCTGGTGCAGTTCCTCAAGAAGTCGACGTTGCTGCCGGCCTGCATCTTTGTCTTTTCCAAGAAGCGGTGCGAGGAGAACGCGGACGCGCTGAGCAACCAGGACTTTTGCACGGCCAACGAGAAGAGCGCGATCCACATGACCATCGAGCGGTCCATCGCGCGGCTGAAGCCCGAGGACCGGGTGCTACCGCAGATTGTGCGGCTGCGGTCCTTGCTGGGGCGCGGCATCGCGGTGCACCACGGCGGGCTGCTGCCCATCGTCAAGGAGATGGTCGAGATGCTGTTTGCGCAGACACTGGTCAAGGTGCTGTTCGCGACGGAGACGTTTGCCATGGGCCTGAACCTGCCGACGCGCACAGTTGTGTTCTCGGGCTACCGCAAGCACGATGGCCACTCGTTCCGCAACCTGCTGCCGGGCGAGTACACGCAGATGGCCGGACGGGCTGGGCGGCGTGGCCTCGACACGGTGGGCTCGGTCATTATCGTGCCGCCGGGCGGGGGCGACGAGGCGCCGCCCGTGGCGGACCTGACCAAGATGATACTCGGCGAGCCGTCCAAGCTGCGGTCACAGTTCCGGCTGACGTACAACATGATCCTGAACCTGCTCCGGGTCGAGGCGCTCAAGATCGAGGAGATGATTAAGCGTAGCTTCTCGGAGCACGCAACGCAGCAGCTGCTGCCCGAGCACGAAAAGGCCGTCAAGTTGTCCGAGGCGGACCTGGCAAAGGTCAAGCGGGACGAGTGCGCCGTGTGCGACGAGGACGGCTGCATGGATGAGTGCCACCAGTCGGCGCAGGACTACCGGCAGTTGACGCAGGAGCTGTACCTTAAACTACTGTCCCTCCCCGTCGGACGCAAAATGTTTGCGGCGGGCCGGCTCGTGGTTTACACAAAAGACGGCGTGCGCACGGCGGGTATCTTGTTGAACGAGGGCGCCAGCGCCAAGGGCAGCAGCAGCAGCAGCAGCGGACCGGCGCTCCACGTGTGCGGGATCCGCAGCGCTAGGGAGACGCGCGACAGCAGCGACATCCTGCCCTTTATGCCGGGGTGGGGGCGCTTTTACACGACGCTGCACGCGGGCAACGGCAAGAAGCAGGTGCAGACCAAGACTCTTCACGTGCCGCTGGGCGACGTCGAGTGCCTTACGGCACACATCACCAAGGGCATCGTGCCCGAGATCTTCCAGAACGGCGAGGCACGGATCGGGGCGCTGAACCAGCTGAAGCGCATCGCGGGCACGTGGGAGGCGGAGTGGTGGCAGGAGGTGGACATGTCCAAGATGCGCAACCTGCAGTTCCAAGAGCTCGTGACGCGGCGGCGGCAGGCCGAGGCGACGGCGACCAAGTCGGCGGCGCTCTCGTGCGGGCAGTTCCTGCGACACTTTGCCATGTGCCACGACCAGTGGCTGATCAAGGAGAACATCCAGCAGCTGCGGCAGGCGCTGTCGGACCAGAACCTACAGTTGCTGCCCGACTACGAGCAGCGCATCCAGGTGCTGCGCGACCTCAACTTTATCGACGAGTCGTCGCGCATCCAGCTGAAGGGCAAGGTGGCGTGCGAGATCCACAGCGGCGACGAGCTGGTGCTGACGGAGCTGATCCTGGACAACGTGCTGGCCGAGTACGAGCCGGCCGAGATCGCGGCGCTGCTGTCGTGCTTTGTGTTCCAGGAGAAGACCGAGTCGGAGGCGCAGCTGCCGGCGCGGCTGCAAAAGGGGCTCGAGACCATCGTGGCGCTGAGCGACAAGGTCAACAACATACAGACGCTGCGCCAGGTGATCCAGGTGGGCGACGAGTCGGCCGACTTTGCGAGCCGGCCACGGTTCGGGCTGGTCGAGGTGGTGTACGAGTGGGCGCGGGGCATGAGCTTCAAGAACATTACGGACCTGACGACGGTGCTCGAGGGGACGATTGTGAGGACCATCACGCGGCTGGGCGAGACGTGCCGCGAGGTGAAGAACGCGGCGCGCATCATTGGCGACCCGGAGCTGTACCAGAAGATGCAGGCGGCGCAGGAGCTGATCAAGCGGGACATTACGGCTGTTGCGAGTTTGTACATGTGAAGTTGATGTATTCATGCTCTAGGCAAAGTGGAAGCAAGCCAGTGTTTAAACAAAAGGACAGAAGAAAAAAAGATAGGTGGATGGATATTCGTCAAGCCGTGATCTGTGCCGGTCAATATGATACTCCTAACGCCCCCAGCCAACCCATACACAGCGGAGGAAAAAAAGAAAGAGAGGGAAAAAAAAAGAAAAAACTAAATGGCCCGCAGCGCCTTGAGCCGCTGGTTCAGCTCGTCCTCGGCCTCCTGCGACGGCTCCGTGGCGGCCGACTCCTTTGCCGGGTCGGCCTTGCTCGGGGCCGACAGCTCGTTGCCGAGGCTGACGCCGACGCTGTCGGCCATCTTGGCCAGGTACTCGTCGACGACCTCGTCGTTGACCTGGGAGCCGGTGCGCTGGGTCATGGCCTCGCGGTATATGCTGTTGGTCAGCTGCTGCTCCTGGATCTGGCGCGTGGCCTCCTCGACGGAGCGCATGGAGCGCTCCGGGTCGTTGCGCTTCATGAACCAGCTGCTGAGGCGCGACACGTTGTCGAGGTGCTGCGTTGTCTGCAGCATCAGGTGCTGCTGCTCAATGTCGGCCTGGAAGCCCGCCGCCATCTGCGCCGTCGACTCCATTTGTAGCTTGGACTCTTGCAGCTTGATTTTGAGTTGGGCCTTTTGGCGGGCCTGCTCCATCTTGCCGGCCTTGAGGCAGGCGGCGACTTGCTTGTCGAGGTCGTTCATTTGCTTGTCGAGCTTGGCGATGGCGCGGTTGGTTTGCTTGACGAGCATCTGGGGGGGAAGTTAGCGGGGGTTTGGGAGAGAGGGAAGGGGCGAGATGTACCCCCGACTTGATGCGCGCGTCGGTGAGGGCGGCTTGCTGGCGTGCTGCCGACATGGTGGTTTTGGGGGCCGTAGTTCGTGGTGGTTCGTGGTGGTTTCGTCGGTCGGGAGGGGAGGGGAGACGGTGGATTGTTGCTTTGTCGGATACGGACAGATGGGAGAGGCGTGGGCTGGAGTGGACTGGAATAAACTATAGAGTGAATGGAACAGGTAGGATTACAGAATGGTCGATGTTTAGGCTTCAATCTTCAGCCTTCTTTGTCCGTGATTCAAGTCCAGTAGTAGTTACGGCCCGCTGGTGTCAAGCGGGGTGGCTTGGAGGCCATGTCATCATTGTGGCTATGCTCAGCCACTTTTTGGATTTTGGGGCTTGTCCAACTTGATTGATTCTCTCCACCAACTCTCGTTTATATCAAACTGCCTAGACGTTTAACATCTAACTCCCGCCGCTCAATCTTAATCGTGACCTCCTCAAAATAGCCAATCCCCCCCTTGTACACATACTTGCCCGGCCTCGCCCTGTCCAGCGCCTCGACGCGAAAGTGGCGCAGAAACTGCAGTGGCCCCTTGAACAGCTCCATCATGGCAATGTGCCTGCCCAGACACTCGCGCGGGCCGTAGCCAAAGGCCATGCTGTACTTGAGCATCTCGCGCGTGCGGGCTTCGTTTTCGAGCCACCGCTCCGGCCGGAACTCGTCGGCGTCGTCCCCGTAAACGGCCGGGTCGCGGTGCACCACCCACTGGTTGCACGTCACCTCGGTGCCCTCGGGCGCGTGCTTGCCGTACAGCTCCATCCCTCCCGGGCCCCGCCAGCCGCGGGAGTCGCCGGGTTGAGCCGCATCGTCTCGCGCACGCACGCCACGTAGTAGGGGCAGTGCGCCGCCACCTCGTCGTGCTGCGGCGTGGCCGACAACTTGCCAGCCTTGGCGGCCGCGTCGATCTCGGCCGTTGACCTTGTCGTAGGCCGCCGGGTGGGCCATCAGGTGCGTTGTCAGCGCGTTGACCGTCGTGCCCGTCGTGTCGGCCCCCGCCAGCAGCACCAGCAGGATCTCGGCCCGCACGTACTCAAGGTCCAGCGGCCTGCCGTCCTCGTCGCGCGCCTCGAGGAAGGTTTGCAGCAGGTCGATGCGCCCGCCCGCCGTGCCCTTCTCGTTGGCCTCGATACGCTCGGCGATGAGGCGGTCGCGGAACCGCATCAGCGTGCCGATGCCCGAGTCCTGCTCGGGCGAACGCCACCAGGTACTTGCCGAGAAAGGTCGACTTGACCCAGTCGGTAAAGGGCCAGCACCGCGCCATGACGCCAAACGCCGTCAGCCCCGTCGTGGAAGCCCTGGATCAGGCCCTCGACGTCGCGCTCCTGCTCGGTGAAGCCAAAGGGCTGCCCGAACCCGACCTCGCTGATGATGTCGTAGGCCATGTAGACGGCCCAGGGCGCAAAGTCAAAGGCCTTGCCCGTGCCGGCGAACCGGGTCTGCAGCTTGTCCATCCAGCGCTCGATGTTGCCGTCGAGCAGCGGCTCCATGCGGCGCACGTTGGGGAAGGAGTAGGGGGCGGCGGCGATCTTGCGGAAGCGCGCGTGGGTCTTGGCGTCTTGGCGTCCTGCATGTTGAACAGGCTCTCGGTCTTGCCGAAGCTGCCGGTGATGTAGTGCTGCGACTTGTGGGCGTGGCGCCAGTAGACGTCGGGCAGGCGCGTCGCGTCGGCCACGGACAGCATGGTGGGCGTCACGCGCACCACGGGGCCGTGGCGCCGGGTGCAGCTCGCGGAAGACGCGCGGCTCGTCGCCCTTGACGTTGTGGTACGCGATCCAGAGCCGCGTCACGGAGCCCCAGAACGGGCCCGGGAACTGCGACAGCGGGCTGAGGTACCGGTACCGCACCACCTGCGCCACGCACGGCTTTGTAGGCCAGGTAGGCGGCCGCGAGGAGCGCAGGTTTGCCGCTGTGAGGAGGGCAGCCATGGTGGTTGGCTTGTTGTGTGTTGCCGTGTCCCCTGTTGACGGCGGCCTTTCTGGTCCGCTTCCCAGCTCTAGCCAGGTCTTTTACGAGCTGTCAAAAGAAATGTGTGATGCGATGCACATATTCCTAGGTCCTCTGTGCCATGCCACCCCAGCCGCCTCCCTGGGCCAGTCACGAGCTACATATTGTACCGCCCCTCCCCATGGCTCCCCTCCCGCTGCCGAGGTCCTGCTGCCTTGGCCGTACCCACGAGCAATCACGCGAGCCAGAGGGGCCAGCGCCGATCTGTGCCTCTTTCCGGCCGCATCGTGTGGAACTCAAAGTGGAGGAGGCATGAAGCAAAGGAGGTAGTTGCGGAGTAATCCTGCCGCCTCGGTCACAGTGCCAGCGCACACCCATGCCCGCCCCTGGTCGTTGTTGTTGTTGGTTCGTTTATATCTTTCCCGCCCAGTCGGCAGGCGGGTGCGGCACGCGGCTTCCGGCGCCACCAACCGCCGGTCTGTTACGCTTAGACTGGAGCCTTTTTCAGGGACCCATGCGCCCTGCCCTGCCCTGCCCTGCCTTTTGGAACGCTGTCGCAAGCAGCACATGGTAGCACGACGTTTCCATATTGAGCAGCCACACGGTAGAAGGGGGACCGGAAAAGTGTAGTTCTGTGTGTACGTACCCTACTGTGAATTAGCCCTTACCGAAACAGCCACCCGCATCCAATAAATCCCATCAACAGTCTCGCCCAGCCCACCTCCCCGCCCAGCCGGGACTAGCCCCCTATCCGTCCCGCCAGCCCGACGTCTTCGGCGTCTGGTGGTCGACCTGCACGTGTGTGGTGACGCCGATGCGGCCCTCAGGCACGCGGCCCGTCAGCGCCTCCTCGTCGCTCAACTGCGCGTCCGCCGGCCGCGTCGGCGCCGCCGCCATCATCTCGTGCCCGTCGTCGTCCCTGACGCTGTCGGCGTAGTAGAAGCTCTTGTTGCCTCTTGCCTTGGCGTCGCCCTTGTCGTTCCTGCTGCTCCCCGTGCCGCCGCCGTCGCCGCCGCCGCCGGACCACGAGCCCCCTATGGTCTAAAACTCCCCTTCCCCTCCTGCTCCTCCTCCTCCTATTCCTCCACTAGGCCCGCCGCTGCTGCTCCCCAGCAGGCGCGGGAAGAAGCGCTTGGCAATCACCTTTGTGCTCGGGATGGACGAGGCCAATATGCCGACGTTGGTCTCGATGACGGACCAGTACATGGGCTGGGCAATGTCCCAGGTCGGGTCGGCGCTGGCCAGCATGGCGGGTATGAAGGTGATGCAGATGACGCTGGCCAGGCAGGCCACGAAAGCCCGGCACAGCGCGACCCCGAGCCCGACGCGCTGCGCGCCAGCGGCACCTGCAGCCGCAGCACGAGCGGGATGGGCAGCGCGCACGTCAGCGCGTCTGTCAGGATGTTGACGGCCGCGTTGGCCAGGTAGAAGGCGTTGATGTCGATGCAGCGCCGCTTCTGCGTTGCCGGTATCGTGATGTCGTAGGCCGCCCGGATGGGCCTCGCACTGCAAGATGCAGACCAGCACGTTGGCCGTGGCCTGGCAGGCGACGACGCCCGCCATGACGGCCGACAGCGTCCGCAGCGTCTCCGGTCGCCCAGGCGCATGTACGGCGCCAGCACCGACGCCTTGATGAAGCCCAGGCAGGCGTTGTAGAAGATGGACGAGAGCCAGACCGTCTGCAGGTACGCGACGAAGTTGGGCACCCCGCGCGCTATCACGTCGGCGTAGTGCCCGCCTAGCCCCAGCTCGGCCGACCGGATGGTGGCGGCGATGAAGGCCCAAGAGAGGAGCTGCTTGTTGTTAGTTTGCCTGTCTTGGCGTTCGTGCCGTGCCGTTGTTCATGCCGTGCCGTGCCGTATATATTCGCCCAACGCTTACCGAAGCCACAACGATGAGATCTGCAGAAAGAAAGTGTGGCGTGCTGTCGTTAGCCTAGGCCTGCCATCTTCCTAGCGTCCGTCCGTCAACTTACAGTCATCTATTCCCACGTGTTGAACCAGAAAGATGCGCGCGTAGAGCCGCAGCCCGACGACCACAAACGTAATAACGGCAAAGGCCACGGCCACGGCCATGACCGTGGGCGACTGCGTCTCGACCTCCATGGCCAGTGTCGTGTCTGCACAGAAAGTAAAGGTGCCAGTGGACAACAGCAGCCCGAGATGCGAGCTGAGCGGGCACAGCTGAACGAGCACAGGGCAAGACAATATGTATTCCAGCAGCCCCAGCCCCAGCCTTGATCGTTTCCAGCCTCGACTCCAGCCTGTCGGGACCAGCACACCCACCCATACAAACACAACCCCAAATACACCCCTCGCCCCATGCTTCCGGAGCCGGTTCCGAAAGGGCCAGGGCACGAGAGCCACAGCATCCGGCCTTCACCTTGTCTTGTGCCAAAACCCGCTGCTGTGGGACGCTGACACAGGAGAGATAAGGAGCAGCCGGCGACAGTATCGACAGTATGCCACACGGCCAGTCAGGAAACCCGGGTCAGCATCCCTGTCGCCCACTCTCCCTTGCCGGTTCGAGTGGAGGCGGCCAGGGCCTGGAGCTCGCCGATCATGAGCCTTGGCGTGAGCCATCCCTGCCGCCAACAACGCGGGAGCGAGGGAGCCTCTGAGGATATGCACTAGTGGTACCGAAGATGCCCAGCCACGCCAGGGAAAAGGACAGAGGACACCCACATGGCAACTCCACCCGCCGCTGGAGAAGAGGCGCCCATCTCGCCCACATGGAGCAAAGATCGGTCCTTGTCACAATGCATTGTGTAACGATATAATCACAACGAGCAAAGGGTTTCGGAACACCACCTGCAGGCTCGTCTCTCGTCCAGCCAACCACCCGCCAATGCGTCAACTTTTCTGAGGGGAGTGAAGATCGCACATTGCCGACACGTTGCATGCTCCCAGGCACCTAAGGCTCCCAGGCACCGACAAGAAAGGATCGCTCAAATGTTGGCCCAGTTCATGGCCATGGTCTGGTAGTCCCAGGGGTAAAACACGTCCGAGATCCAGGCCTGGTCGACCGGGCCTGCCACGCCCAGAGAGACGGGCGTGCCGTTCAGGTCGTACTGGCCATATGGCCCAGCTTGTGGCTGCTGCTGCTGCTGCATGTCCATGCCGCCCATCATCAGCTGCGGCGGCAACTGGCCGCCCAACAGTGCCACGTTGCCGCCGCCAGCTACCACGCCCCCGGTCCCGGGCCCTCCCAACGTGGCTAGCGAGGACGACGACGGGGACACGCCCTCGCCTGCATCCATGCCACCCTGGGCTGCCGCATCCATATTCTTGATCTCGACCTCCCAGCCCGCCCGCATCCTCTCCAGGAACGTCCACGACTTCAAAAAGATGGTGGGCATGGCGCCTTCGGCAGCCTTCTCCCCGTCCTCACCCTCGTCCAGGCCGGCCGACATCTTGAGATCCATCACCCTGGCCGTGGTGCCGTCGATCATGGCGAGCACGTCGAGCCGGCGCCTGAGCGCAGCCCGGTCCCACAGCGGATCGTCGTAGACGGTCAGGCGGAACAGCGCGACCAGCGCGTGCGTCATGCGCGTGCACATGGCGAACGAGAAGCCGTGGTAGAAGACGGCAGCCATGGCAAAAATGCGGCTAAAGTAGCGCTCCAGGGCGTCGACGCAGCCGTGCAAGTATTCGAGCTGCTGCGGGTTGGCCGCCAGTGAGCTCGGGTTGGGATCGGGCATGTCGACGTTGAGGGGCTGCAGCATCCTAGGTGACTTGTTGACGGCGCACTCGTTGACCATGAGATCCAGCGAATGCATCATGGGCTCCACGGCGTCTGCTCGAGTCCGCGCTTAGTTCACGAGCTTTACAACATTTGACCCCAAGGATCCCAAGGATCTGATCCCAAGGATCCCATGGATCCCAGTCTAGGCGTCACAGGACATACCGTGCTTCAGCAGCTCCTCGGGGATACTGGATATGAGGTCCTTGAGTCGGGAGCGGAAGAGCTTGACAACATAGTGTGGCAAACCCTTGGACGGGTCTTCGATGCCGCACGCGCTCTCGAAAAGTCCTGGACGTGCTATCGACCCATCCGAGCCTTGGCGCGCGTTGTGGATCTGCTCGACCAGCTGCTCTGCCTTTACCTGGACTACGAGCACCTTGTCGCCCTCGCATTCCGGGTTCTTTTCCAGATCTCGTAGCATTTCCTCCATGAACGGCGTCCACCTCAGGGGGTCGAACCGCCGCATGGTGGACGAAGTCCTGACATGGCGTGTGAGTGGGATTCATCATTCATTCATCAGAGATGGGCATGGCGGATGGCCAGCTTACATTGCACAAAGACAGAAACACCCCAGGGCCGCGCGCCGCTCCTCGTTGGTCGGCCCCGCCCCTCTGAGCTGGTCGGCCATGAAGCTCTTGGCCTCCGAGTCCTTCCAGAAGCGGGGGGCCGGCAGCTCCCCAAACGGGCGGTGCAGCCCTAGCTCGATGAGCTGGGCAGTGGCCAAGCGGGTGAAGAGAGTCATGTATGGCCTGTCTCTTTTGTGGAAGTGTGCCCTGGACCAGTGGACGCAGTCAGCACCTCCGTTAGCCTCCGTCTTGTTTGTTCCGTGGGAGCGGCACTCACCAGCCAGCAAAGGCCAGGATAGCAAGCAAGATGTCGAGGCTGCTTTCGTAGTGGACCACTGCCTTGTCTGAAATCAACTCCCGCAGCTCGTCGCTGAGCTTCTGCTGCTTTTCGTACGATCTCGACGTGACGCACCGAATAGCCAGCATGGTCAGGGGGCGTTTCCTCGAGAGGTTCTGTGCTGTCATGGAGACGGGGATGTGCATAAAGGGGAAGAAGCGGATGAAGCGGGAGCGGAAGGCATCGAGGGACCGCTCGGCCTCGACCAAGTCGGCAGAGCCCGGGGGAGAGGTCGACGAAGGGGTCGGGGTCGGCTGTGGGGAGGGCGTGGCCTTGTCGGGCTGCACAGACAGCAGAGGGCGCGGCTCGGCATCATGTGAGCTTGGGGGAGAGGGGATATTGGGGGCTATCTGATCCGAGAACCTGGGAAGACGGCCCCTGGCGGTGCATGATGGCCTGGCCTGTGGCAGGGCAGATGGGGCTTCTCTTGTAGAGGCCGAGCCGGCGCCTTCCTTGGCCTGGCGCTGGGTCTTTAGCAGCGAGACGAGGTCGTCCAGCTTCTCCTCGAGCTGAGCTGTGCGCGAGACGATGTGGCGCCTGGGGGTGCGTTTGCGGACCGTCTCTGACGGCACACACTGTTTGGCTAGGCGGTGGCACCTTTCACAAGCGCCCGTGTCGGCGCCAGAGCCACGGTAGACCTGGTGGGTGGGTCAGCGAGTGGCTGGGGAGGCTTGAACAAGAGCAGAACAAGAGGCTTGACCAACACATCGACACTTGGCCTTGGAGCAGTTTGTGCAGGCCCGCCCGTAGGGAGCCGGGACGCCGGCACTAGCAGTAGCAACAGCCGAGGCAGACGAGCGCGTGCTTCTACTTTGGGACTCTCCCAGTCCAAAAGAAGAGGAACTGGAGGTCATGGTGGTGAAGCTGGAGCACCAGACTGTCGTTCAATTCCGGCGGAGTCTGGCCTAGGCTGGTCGTTTGGTGAAGCGACTCGTGCGCCACAAGCGTCCGAACTCGTGCTCGAGTGGGTGCTGTTTAGTGGGTGCTGCCCCCCAAAAACCCTAAAAACCCCAAAAACAGGGTCCAATCTGGTAGCTCTGGCGTTCGGATTTAGATTCTAGACCCAACCGAATCTCCAGAGCAGAGAGTTAGGACAGGAAAAAGAAGCATGAGTGACGATGATGCGAGAACAAGGGAACTAGGGAATCCGAGGGAAGCAAGGCCACCCACGCTGAACAAGGTGGGCGGGTTTGGTGGCGGAGGGAATAACAGCCCGACGGGATTCGGAGTTGGAACTGTTGCGAATCCCGCCGGGCTGACAGCCCAAAACGGGCAAGTGTCGCCCCTCCATGCTCGACAACGCCTGCCTCCTCAGCCTTGGATTAGGGAATGATATCGGCTTACATAACCACAGAGCATAGAGCCCTCTGACTTATACCAGCCGTCTCCTCAACCACCTTGCCATCCCAAACTCCGGCAGCCGCTCCGTAGGCAAACACCACACGGGTAGCTGCCGCTGCTCGGCCTGCCGTGCCACTCCCCAGCCATGCTTGCACGGGGTTCAACGTCAAACGCTCCCACAAGTGACACTCGACCGGCCGAGATGCCAACCAGATCCTGCCCCTGGAGTGACACCCGCGTGGCGCCACCGGTGACGGCACGGGGGACAAGACCCCTTGATGTGTTTTTTTGCGTCTTGTGTCTGTGTGAGGTCTTGTCAAGGATCGAGGCCTCGCCTCTCTCTTTTCCTCTTTCTTGTTGTCTTTTCTGTCCTGGTGTTTTGCTTCTTTTTCTAGATGGCCTCAATACTCTCAACGCAGGCCGTGGTGTTGGCCTGGGCGCTGTGATACCGGATGCTTGTTTTCTGCGGAGCCTTGCATCAGCGACGACGTGGCTCCACGTCCTTGCTTCTCTGACCTTTGCCTCAGCACCGTGCAGTGAAGTTGAGTCCCAACTTTGCAGAAGGAGTCACCCGCCTGGCCAGCTCAGCTTTCGCCAACCAGCCAACATCTCGTCCACCCCAGCCATCACAGCTCCATTTGCCCTGCCTGCTAACCCACCACCACCGCTACCACCCCCATCGCCATGGCCTCGCCCTACCAAACGTCCGAGAGCGGCCACTGGCGGCCCTACAACACCGGCCATGGCGGCCCGGGCGTCGGCCAGGTCCACGAGATGGGCCCCTACCCGATCCGCCGCTTCGCCGAGCAGGACTCGGCCCTGAACCCGTCCCTGCAGGCCCGCGCCGTCAGCCGCGCCCCCAGCACCGCCTCGTCCTCGGCCCAGTCGGCCGGCGGCGGCGGCGGCGGCGGCGGGCCCATCGGCTTTGGCGCCGGCTACCGCAGCCCCAGCGTCGACCACCACCACCGGCCGCCACCATCGCCCCCGCTGCCGCAGCAGCAGCAGCAGAAAGATTACGCCGGCAGCAACAACCCCCCGATGACCATGGCCGACCGCCGCAGCAGCACCCACACCGCCGCCCCGTCGGCCTACCACGACCAGGCGGCGCTGCGGACGGTGCGTGAGGACGACGAGGGCGACAGCGACGTCGGCGACCACGGTCGCAGCAACTACGACGACGGCGACGACGGCGACGACGGCGACGACGGAAACGGCAGGCGGCGCGGCTGGCGGCGCTTCTGCTGCCTCTGCTGCTGCTGCTTCGGCGACGGCGACGACACGCCGCTGTGGGCGCGCCGCCTGTGGGGGTGGATCGTCTTCAACCGCTGTCTCGTCTACGGCGTCGTCGCCGCCATCTTGTGCACCATCGTCTTTGGCGTCATCTTTGGCGCCGTGCTGCCGAGGCTGTCGAGCCAGCCGGGTCCGAGGCAAGTTGACTTGTGTGCTGTTCTTTCTGTGTTCCTAAAGCCGATACCCGAGTCTGTACTGGCATCCCATGTGCCTTGCTCTTGCTAGCCCTGGGGCCATGGCGAGGCCCCAGGGCTCCAAAAGACAGAACTAAGCGTCTGATACAGCCCGCCGCCCTCGGTCCCGGCCTCCGACGACGTCCCCTCCCCGTGCACCTCGTCAGAATGGTCAGCTCGCCGGCACTATTCCCGTCCTGGAAGTGTATAGAGCACAACCGGACAGACCTGCTAACAGCCGGCACCGACAAATCAGCTCCCCGACGCCGTTGCCCACGTCCACGCCGTCAACCACATCCTCGGATAGCAGCACCTCGTCGACCAGCACCTCGCCGAAGCCCGTCCCAGTAAGCCCGCCCACACTCCCTCTGCCCAGTGACATATGCGCAGCACACCAGGCACTAACAACTCCCCCCAAGACTGGCCTCCCCGCCGAGTGCAATACCAAAAACTACATCACCTCGGCCTCCTTCCTGGCCGTGCACGGCGACCCAAACTACCTCTTCGCCTTCTCGGCCTCGCGCAGCCCCGACGAGTGCTGCGCCTACTGCTACCGCCGCGTCGCCACGGGCTGCCACGGCTGGCGCTTCACCCCGGGGTCCGCCACCACGTGCACCTACATCCACTCGTACGACGGGCCCGGCCGCAAGGACGACACCTGCCCCAAGGGCGCCGACGTGCCCGTCGACATCGCCTCGGACGACAAGCCCGGCGGGCCCAACAGGCGCAACGTGGCCGGCGTGGGGCCGTGCGGTTCTCTTTGATACCCTGGTTGTCCTCTGCCGCCCTCATTTCTTCCCCGGTTTTGTCTTGAGCGCGTTGCTTGTCCCGGGCGGTCGATACTCGTCTCCCTAATAGTCCTTGACTCTCCTTCACTCTCTTGTCAACAGCCCCGGATTCTTAGTATCGGGACGCATGCTTCAGAAGCGCTCGAGATACGTTTAGATGTCAGTCAGCCCTTCTCCCAGTCTGGCGACAACGCCCGCCAATAGCTTAGGCTGGACTCTTTGATGTCATGCAGAACAAGCGCTGGTTTAGACTCCGCACGTGCACCGACCTACCACGTGAATGAACCCGTAACCATGTCTATAAATGTCAGAGAGCTACATAGCTGCACTCTCCTACTGCTCCCAAGCTGCCCTTCCCAATTTAAACCAACGCCTGCGCAGACAACATGGGTGTGATCGTCGGGCCCGGAGCCGAAAAAAGAATGTTTATATCAACAATCGGACCAATTACTGTACATCAAGCGCCTATGGTCGTCTAGCCGCCAAGTTCTAACCGGGAAAACAGACGGCGCGCCCCTGAGCAACCGTCAACACCCAAACGCACGCCCCAGATACCAACGACTTTCGCTGTCGGGCTTTATAGTCGCAGCAGCTTGGCGGCGTGCTGCTCGATAATGCTCTCGGTCGGGAAGCTCATCTCCTCCAGTCCCTGGGCGTAAGGGGTGGGCACGTCGGCGCCTGTGACGCGCGAGGCCGGGGCGTCAAGGTAGTCAAACGCGTACTCCATGGTAAGGGCCAGGATCTCGGAGCCGACGCCAAAGGCCGGGAAACCCGACTCGACCGTCATGAGACGGTGCGTCTTCTTGACCGACTTGACGATGGACTCGACGTCGAGCGGCTTGATGGAGCGCAGGTTGATGACCTCGACCTCGACGCCGTGCTTCTTCTTGAGGTTCTCGGCCGCCGCCAGCGACTGGCCGACACACCTCGACAACGTCACGATGGTCAGGTCCTTTCCCTGGCGCTCCACCTTGGCCTTGCCGAAAGGAATCACAAAGTCGTCCTTCTGCGCTGCCTCCGACATAGGGAAGGTCTGGCCGTACATGAGCTCGTTCTCGAGCACCACGACGGGGTTGGGGTCGCGGATGGCCGCCTTGAGCAGGCCCTTGGCGTCCTCGGCGCTCCAGGGCGACACCACCTTGAGGCCAGGCACGCTGCCGTACCAGGCGCTGTAGTCCTGCGAGTGCTGGGCGCCGACACCGGAGGCGAAACCGTTGGGGCCGCGGAACGTGATGTTGCAGGGCTGGATGCCACCCGACATGTATAGCGTCTTGGCGGCCGAGTTGACGACGTGGTCGATGGCCTGCATGGCAAAGTTGAACGTCATGAACTCGCACTGGTGGACTGGTCAGCATCGCGCGAAGCACCTCTCTGTCCTCGTGCTGGTGGGGCGGGGTCTTTGTCTTACAACGGGGTGCAGGCCGCTCAGGGCGGCGCCGACGGCCAGGCCGGCAAAGCCCATCTCGGTGATGGGGGTGTCAATGACCCTGCGCTCGCCGAACCTGTCGAGCAGACCCTTGGTGACCTTGTACGCGCCGTTGTACTGGGCCACCTCCTCGCCCATGATGAAGACCTTGTCGTTGGACTCGAGCTCCTCGGCCAGGGCCTCGTTGAGGGCCTCGCGGACAGTGTAGTCCTTGGTGCCGGCCGAGGCGTACGTCCTCTGCTGGTGCAGCGGCTGGAGGGCGGCCCTCCGCGAGGCTATTATGGACGAGGCCGGGGCGCATCTGAGGACGGGGGCGCGGGCGGTGGCCGCGGCAGCCAGGCGGGCGGCTGGGCGGAGATAGCGAGACATGGTGGGCAGGACGGCAGCTCGAGCGATTGCGAGGCAGACTGAGAAGTGGATGGTGGTGGGTGGGTGGTGGGTGGACAGACTTGATATTGCTGGCTGTGTCGACTTGGAGGGAATTTTTTTTCGGCGCCTCGCGGGTCGGAGCTCTGGTTGCTGATGGAGCTTTGGCTCACCACCAAATCCACCAAATCCAATGCCAGCGCAGCACCCCGAGTGGCGGCCCAGAATTTGGCGTGCGCTCCCGCAGTTGGGCCTGGGACTTGTTGGGGACCCATTGGCTGCTAGTCCCAAACAGGAATGGTCGGCCCCATTCCACGATAACGGCTCGCGACGGGTGGGGCCCTGCTGAGCTTCCTTTTCGTCTGCCATCCGGACGATTTTGGGGGACCTCCTTTGAGGCTGAGCTGAGGCTGGGTTTGGGCTGCCTTTGCTGAGCTTAACTGCGGACAAACTCGACCGGACTAAAAGCCACCACTCTCACACACACCCGACTCAACCCGATTAGAACAAAGATTATTTTATATACTCTATAGGATACCTCTACCGTCCCAAAGTGTGAGCTCAACTCCCCTCCTGTCATGTAATCCTGTCATCCTCATTATACTCGGCATGTATGCCGCCCCTGTTACCCTCCCCTCCTTTTCCTCATTAGTCAACTCCAGTTCCCCGCCTAGTTCAACGGCTTGCGGCCAACCATCAGGTACATGGGCGTAAAGATGTTCTCCCTTGCGCCAGCGACAACGGCATCTCCGCCCACTGCCAGTGCGTCCGCCGTCTTCTTGGTGCCTGCAGGCGCGATGCCGACCGTCTCAAGAACGCCCGTCATGCCGTGCATCAACGTCCGTGCCCACTTGGTCATGCGGAGGACGGTGAAAAGATCAAAGTATGTCTGCAGGTACTTCAGATCGCCAGCCAGAGGCCAGTACCAGGGCATCGCGTCGCCCTTCTGCGCCAGGTCATCGGCCTTGATCAGCTCGAACCCGGCCGCCTTCATCGCCGCCAGACCCTCCGAGATGGGCACCATGTTGGAAATCCCGTTGCCAACCTCGATGCGCAGACGGATGTCACGGTGGTGAAGGTTGTCGTTATCGTAGTCGTCAGTCATCAGCCACTCGTACACGCCAAACGTGCCGCCGGGCTTCAACACCCTGAAGATCTCGCTGTACACGCCCTCAAGCTTGGGCGCGTGAACAGTCGCCTCGATGGCGTAGACGGCATCAAAGCTCTCGTCAGGGAACGACATTTGCTAATCGGGTGCAAACAGTCAGCTCAGGGGCTCAGGACACAACACAAAACACAAAACGTGGCCAGGGATGTGGCAGAATATGCATACCATAAAGTCTCCCTTGACGAATTTGAGCTGGTCAGCGAGGCCCTCCTTCTCGGCGTAATATGTCGCGCGATCGATCTGGTAGTCGTTGTTGTTCAGACCAACAATATTGGCGCCGGTAAACTTGGCGATCTCGCGTGCGGGACCACCGACACCGCAGCCGACGTCAAGGACGGTCATCTCCTCCTTAATGCCGATCTGGTGTGCCAGGTAGTGCTCATGGCGGGCAATGGCTTGGTAAAAGGGCTCGTTGGCTGAGAATCGGCAGAAGTGGAACGACTGGCCCCAGCCGTACTCGTAGATGTCGGTGGCGAGGTTGTAGTAGCTACGGGAAGAAAGGAGACAACGGTTAGCCCACAGCCAGGGCATCATACAGGGCGGAGGTCGACTTACTGCCTGGTCAGAGTGGCATACTCCTTTGTCCGGGCCTCGCGGTCAGCGGCAGTCTCGTTCTCGGCGCGCTTGTTGTCGAAGTGCTTAAAGTACTCCTCGACAGCCAGCTTCTTGGCCTCCTTGTCCTTGGAGAACATGGCCGCAATGCCGCCGGCTGCCATGGCCGACTTGCCGTGAAGCACCTTGTTGAAGGCGGCATCGCGCTGCTTGTCCTCCTTCTCAAGACCCTGCTTGGGAGCCATTGCTGCGGTGTTGAAGTTGACAAGTGGGTGTGAAGGAATGACGGAACAGACGGTGACAGTTGAGGTCACGAATGCGGAGAGAAAGGAGTGTGGCGGTTGATGGGAGAAGCCGCCGCAGGAGAGATGGATGGGAGAATATGTAAGGAGAGGATGCAGGAAGGGCAGACCGACAGAAAGGGACGAGATGGACACGCGGGTTACAAAAAGGAGTCGGTCCCCGACTTTCCTTCAGACCGACCGCCCAGAAGCACCAAACTGGACCCTTCCCGTCACGGCAGCCTCTGGCAGGTGCCAATTCACATGTGCAGCCCCACCGGCCCAAATTCCAGCCAATTTCGATTCTCGAGCAATTTCATTAGCATATCGACCTGGCAGGCGGTGAAGTGGGGGGCGTTCTGATTGGCTGGCCCCTCCTCCTATTCTCCCTCTGCTTGGCGGTGCCTGGCGTTGTATTTTTTCCTTTTCGAATTCGAATACGAATAAGAACCAAGGCTTGCTTGCCCCTGAATGATGACGAGTTGACGCCACACCTCTAAAGTCTCAGTGGCTGATGACTAATCGATAAGAGAACCTTCTTGCCTCAGCCACGCAACTTGCCGGTCAGCCCAAGGCTGAGATCCATGCCTGCGACAAGAATTATCCACATCCGAAAGTTGACAATCGCGAAACCACGCCACCAGCCAACGAACGACTCGACGGCGCCGCCAACGTCGACGCGCATCGAACCAGACTCCATCAACGCGCTCGAATCAGCACAACCTCAACACCGCACACTATGGCTCCCCAGATAAAACAGGACCTCAATAGGTCGGGCTGGGAGTCGACCGACTTCCCGTCCGTCTGCGAGAGCTGCCTCCCAGAAAACCCCTACGTCAAGATGATGAAGGAGGACTACGGCGCCGAGTGCAAGCTGTGCACCCGGCCCTTCACCATCTTCAGCTGGAGCGCCGACCGCGCCCATGGCCGGAAGAAGCGCACCAACATCTGCCTTACATGCGCCCGCCTAAAAAACTGCTGCCAGTCGTGCATGCTCGACCTGTCCTTCGGCCTGCCCATCGTGGTGCGCGACGCCGCCCTCAAGATGATCGCCCCCGGTCCGGGCTCCGAGATCAACCGCGAGTTCTTCGCCCAGAACAACGAGAAGGCCATTGAGGAGGGCCGCGCCGGCGTCGAGGAGTACGAGAAGACGGATGAGAAGGCCCGCGAGCTGCTGAGGCGGCTAGCCCAGAGCAAGCCGTACTTCAGGAAGAGCAGGGGCGTCGACGAGGATGGCAACCTGGCGACGGGCCCACCTGGGGGTCCCAGCAGCAGAGGAGGCAACGCAGCTGTCGGTTCCGGATCCGGTGGCCCGGGCCCCATCCGCACGCGTGACTCTAGGGCTGCTGCCGCTTCAGGCAGCTCATCTGGCAGAGGAGGCGGCGGCGGCGGCCGAGGTGGCAGGGGAGGGCGCCGAGGCGCGTTTCCTAGCGCCGCTCAGCAGCCACCGACGGAGAAGGACTGGCTTCCGCCCGACGACACAGGCATCATGTCGCTGTTCGTGACGGGTGTCGAGGACGACCTGCCCGAGCACAAGATCCGCGACTTCTTCAAGGTACACGGCAAGATCAAGTCGCTTGTCTGCTCGCACATGTCGCATTGCGCCTTCATAAACTACGAGACGCGCGACGCGGCCGAGAAGGCCGCACTCGAATGCAAGGGCCGTGCCGTCATTGCCGGCTGCCCCCTGAGGGTACACTGGGGCCGCCCCAAGGCCGTGGGGACAATGAACAGAGAGGAGCGGCTGGACATGTTGCGCGATGGTCGGTCCGCCTTTACGCGCGCATCGCCGAGAGGAGGCCGCGGGGGTGCCCAAGGCAGAGGTGGTTCGCACAGCGGAGGCGATGTTGACGGCGGCAGCGCGGACGCGCCCCCAACACCACTCATCATTGCGCCGCCCGGTGCTGCCGAGGTGCAATATCCCAGTCAGGCCGGGAACTAGAGGTCTTTCGTATTCTTGTTTCTCCTTTTCGCAATCCCCTGGCTTGCAGCTGCCTTGCTGGCATAGCCACTTCTGGCGTTTTGGCGTTGGTTTTGACAAGAACTTGGCGTGACATGGCATTCATCCCAAGGTTTTGATGCATCATGTGTGTTTACTATGATAGGATTACAGCGGGAGTATCATACACGGCGTTATAATGTTACAGCTGCAGCGACCAACCAGACCGGCGCCTACATGTCCTTGCAGGTCTTGCCGTCTATCTTGATCTTCATGTTGCCTATCTTGATGGTGTCGTTATCTCCCCTCTCGGTCCCGTTGTGGATGTTGAGTTCTGCGCGAGGGGCGAGATTAGTCTTGGTCACTGTCGTGGCAGTCTGGCAGGAACATACTGTACAGCCCATCGTTCTGGAGTTGCCCCTGGACGACATTGGCCCTCAGGAACTGGGCCACCTCTTCAGCCATCTGGACGGCGGATTCGCGGTTGGCGGGAGGGAGGGAGGTGTTTTGCCGGAACTGGGTGGCTATTTGCTGTCTTGCGGCAGTCAAGACACGGGCGTCTCCTGTGGGCGGTGGGCAACCTGTTAGTGGGAAGGGCGCAACTCAGGAGCAGGGCGGAGGTAAGGACGCGGCAGATACCTTTGAATGCGACACCGGCGGCGCGCAAAAGGTGCCTGTAGGCAGCGAGGGCGTTTGAGTTGGACATGGTTCCTTGTTTGATGCTCGTCAAACAACCAGTAGAGGCCTTGGCTGTCTGGCAAAAGATGGCGACGGAATCGAAGCATCCAAGTTTCCAGACTAGGCTGTCGATTGCCCAATGAGCGGAGGTGATTGGCTGTATTTGGTAGGTGGGGCACAGACATGCACTGGTCCCTCCAGCTCAGAAAAAAAAATCCCACATCGAAAGTGATCCCCGCCAGTTGGGAACTCGGGCCGCAAAAACACCCACGGCTTCTCCCACAGATCAACTAGTGCGCCAGAAGCAACAATGACTGCAGTCAAAAGGTCGCTTCCGACCCTCCCCGAGGGCTGGGAGGCGGACAAGGACTTCAAGCCACTCGGCAAGCTGAGCACCTCGACGGAGCGCACCATCGAGCCCGTCGGCCCTCACTTCCTCGCCCACGCTCGCCGCTCCCGCCACAAGCGCACCTTTTCCGAGGATGACCGCCTGCAGGCCCAGGAGCGTGCCAAGAAGGTCGAGGTCGACGACGATGGCGAGATCAGCGAGCCCGAAGACCCCATGATGTTTACTCGGGACGCCAAGGACTGGAAGGTATGCGAGATGATCGAGGTCAAGGAGACAGGCAAGGAGACACACGTACTAACCAGCTCCCACAGAACCAAGACCACTACCAGGTCATGGGCCTGTCCAAGTACCGCCACAAGGCCACCGAGGACCAGATCAAGCGCGCCCACCGCAAAAAGGTGCTCAAGCACCACCCCGACAAGAAGGCCGCGGCCGGCCGCCCCGAGGACGATAACTTCTTCAAGTGCATCCAAAAGGCCACCGAGGTGCTGCTCGACCCCGTCAAGCGCCGCCAGTTCGACTCGGTCGACGAGAAGGCCGACGTCGAGCCGCCCACCAAGAAGGACCTGCAGAAGGGCAACTTCTACAAGCGCTGGGGCAGCGTCTTCAAGGCCGAGGCCCGGTTCAGCAAGGTGCACCCGGTGCCGACCTTTGGCAACGAGGACTCGGCCAAGGAGGACGTCGAGAACTTCTACAACTTCTGGTACAACTTTGACAGCTGGCGCTCCTTCGAGTACCTGGACGAGGACGTGCCCGACGACAACGAGAACCGCGACCAGAAGCGCCAGATGGAGCGCAAGAACGCCAACGCCCGCAAGAAGAAGAAGGCCGAGGACAACGCGCGCCTGCGCAAGCTGCTCGACGACTGCTCGGCCGGCGATGAGCGCATCAAGCGCTTCCGCCAGGAGGCCAACGCGGCCAAGAACAAGAAGCGCCTCGACAAGGAGGCGGCCGAGAAGGCCGCGCTCGAGGAGGCCCGCCTGAAGAAGGAGACCGAGGAGAAGGCGGCCAAGGAGGCCGAGGAGAAGGCCAAGGCGGACCGCGACGCCGGTAAGAAGGCCAAGGAGGCGGCCAAGAACGCCGTCAAGAAGAACAAGCGCGTGCTCAAGGGCTCCGTCAAGGATGCCAACTACTTTGTCGAGGGAGACGCATCGCCCGCCACCATCGACGCCGTGCTCGGCGACATCGACCTGGTGCAGTCCAAGATCGACGCCGACGAGATCGCGGCGCTGGCCGGCAAGCTCAACGGGCTCAAGGTCTCGGGCGAGATCAAGGCCGTGTGGCAGGACGAGGTCAAGCGCCTCGTCGGCGCGGGCAAGATCAAGGAGGGCGAGGTCAAGGCTCTGGCTTGAGTTGCGCCACCTGCGTGTTTCTGTAGACGATTTGACGTGACGGGGCAGGTGAGGAGTCCAGTTCATGACTAGATCTAGAATCCAACGGCCTTTCGGTCCATCATCCGATTTCTCTGCCTGTCGCTTCTCAACGAATCAAATGTTCCCCAACGGTGTTTCCGGTCGTCTTGTCCTGTGCGCAGTCCGAGCGATGTGCCCTTACGCAGCCTTTGCTATGGCGTGGGCACGGGAGTCGTCAAGCAGTAACCCATTTCGATGTTGCCCTCCATTTCCGGCTTGGACGAGAAGACTCTTGCAAGGTTCATCTGATCTCCGTATGCGCTGTAGGCTGCTTACTGGAAGCACGAGTGCTGCCTGTGTTGATGCAGAACCGATGTTTAGGGACTTGCCTACTTAAGTACACGACGCCAGGACGCTTCTGTCGTGAGCCTTCTCTCGCCGACGAGCGTTACCTTTTATACTTTTATAGCATCATCTACGGAATAGCCGAAATGCCAGCAAAGGTAAGTCTCACCACAACCGACAGAACATAACCCCTGACCTCTCAACTAACAACGCATCCTTATCTAGGTCGCGACATAGCAGGAGTGTATGCGCGCCCGCAAGGACCTTGTCCGGCGCGAGAAGAAGCTCTCACGCATGGCGCAGGACGTCGCGCGGGCCATGCGGGAGATGCCCGTGATGAAGATATCCAAGGATTACGTTTTTACACGGCCCGACGGCAGAAACGTCTGCCTACCCAACCTCTTTGAGGGCAAGAGGCAGCTTGTCGTCTACCAGTACGCTGCTTTTATCACTTTCCGAGACGTGTGTAGCAGCGTAACACACATACAGATTCACAGTCGGCTCTGGGGCGTCCGACGCCTGCGCCCGCTGCACCTTCCTGGCGGAGCGCTCGGCGGACGCGCACCAGCTCGACTCGTAAAACACGACCGTGTGCGCCGTGTCGCGCGGGCCCGTCGAGGACGCCGGCGCCTTCGCCGACCGCGCGGGCCTTCAGATGCCGTTCTACGCGAGCACCAGCCTGGAGTTTGGCCGCGACATGCACGCCATGATGACGAGGCGGGACTGCGCGGCGACGCACGGCCACCACCACCATCGCCACCACCAGCTCAAGGCAAAGGGCCCGATGGGCAAGGGGGCGCGCCTGTACAAGAGCATCATGGATGATCTCATGGATGATCTTCTGGATGGCGCGAGAGGGGAGGATGAGGACGTGGGTGAGGGCGAGAAGGCGTGCGGAGGCCACGGAGAGACGGGCGAGGACGAGGCAGGCGTTAGCATCTTCTGCGAGGGTGCCGACGGGGCTGTATACCGCCGGTACTCGTACTCAGCCCACATGGCGAGCACGCTTGGGCTGCTCGAGGTGGCGCCGATGGAGGAGGTGGATGTGTGAGCGATGTTGTTGTATGAAAGCAGATGAAAGATGTCGCTATTTCGTCGGAATTAATCGATAACATGTTCAAGGAATTACGCTTTACTTTATTAAACTTTACTTGGTCTCCTCCTTCTCCTTTGCGGCCTGCATCTCCTTATCCCTCGCAGCCTGCATTTTCATATCCTCCTCCTCCGTCTTGGGCACCGTGATCAGCATGGGGACAGTCACGGCGTTGATCTTGCGGAAAGTCTACCACCCCATGCAACCTTGTCAGCCACAACCTCGTCAGCACAGGGGTTCATAGCACACTCACGTTCATAATAACCCCCTCGGGCAGCTTGTCGTTCCACCTGTCCTGGACCTTTGCGATCTTGCCGTCGTCGCCGAGGTGGATGTTGACGACGCTGCTGATGGTGTGGGCGCTGCCGATGCCGCGCACCACGTACTTGTTGCTCGTCTCGAGCCGGACCGGGTTGCCGGCATCGACGACCGTATGCGACTGCAGCGTGATGGGGCTGAAGAGTGCGGGCAGGCCATACCACTGCGCCTTGTACTTGGCCTCGCCGGCCGCGCTGGTGATGGGGTCCTCGAACACGGCGTCGGGTGACCAGAGGCTGAAGTGCTTGAGGGTCGGGTTGCCCTCGAACAGGTCGAGCACACTTCCTACTACCAGCTTCTGGTGCGGCGAGAGCTGGACACCCGGGGCCTCGTTGATGGTGGAGTTGCGAATGCCGAGAGACGAAAAGGATGGCTCCGGGTTGGAGGAGGCGGCGGCCTGGGCCTGGGCCGACTTGGACGGCTTGTTTCCTGTGGACATCGTCCTGGTCGAGGTGAAGAGCGAACTAGTCAAGGGGGCTTTGGGTTTCGCGTATCTACAGCAGTTGAGGATGCCAAACAGCATGTCTTTTGGTGTTTTGAGGACAGGGTTGTCTGATATTGTGTATTCTGCACTACCTGTAAAGCTATATCAGGACGTTGCTCCAGATGATAGAAATGTCTACTGTCATGTTCAGTCCATGACACGCCTTGACGTCACCATGTTGGGCAAAAAGTTCCAGATTGCTAGTGCCCGCAGCGAGATCTCGAGGGAGCGGGCTTGGTGTCGCGATCGGACAATCGGGCATTTTCTCTGGACGTCTTGTCGGATGGGTGATGGCGTAGGGAGGTGGCGCATAGCGGGCAACTAGGATGCGAGAGTGGACCACACCCGGTAAATAGTGGGTCCGGAGTGGCTAAATTTGGACAGCCATCGCAACAAGAAAATGAGTTCGTTAAATTCACTGCTCAATCTTCAATCTTTTAGACTTTTGACTCTCGATTCCCAACCCGACGCCTCAAAAAGCCAATGTCGTCGGAATTGGGAAATACCACCCGCTTGTTGTTGGCATCCCGACCAAGACCTCTTTTGGAAATCACCCGATTTACGCCGCCAGCCCGAGTGGGAATGGCTCAATGCCTTTCAGGCCGCCGCCGCCCAAGCCTCGCATGCGCACTCAGCAGACTCCGCCTGCAGAGTAAGCAGCGACGGTTTGGGAAGTGCATCCCTTGAGCGTGGCCCTTGAGAGTGCCCTTGAGCCACGCCCAGTCTGCCAGTCTCGAGCCCGCCAACAGCACCCGGTGCAGCAGCACCCAAGACTCCCCAACGGCCCGCCGCCCGATGCGGCAATGCGCAGCCTGGCGGTTGACTCCAAAGCACTGTCGCTGAGTAGGCCTGACGCTGCTGCTGGCCACACTGCCCCGGCTGCTGCTCATCTACGCGCTGTTAGTCCCAACGCGACCGGATAACACCGCCAGCCCTGCCATAATCCCTGTCTCCCGTGAAATGGTGACCGTCTGCTGCTGGCTGTGAAATCCGATGTGGCCCCTTAAGAGGTGTGTCTGGCCCGGCTGCCCTCGTAGTCGCCTCTTGATGAATTTTATCTCTTCTAGTTGAAATCATACTCGAATATTCTTGCCATCTTTCCACACAACTGTATCAAATATCTTGTTCTCTACTGGGCCGCCATCGCCGCCCTCCCGATCGTCTCGACTCGCACGCCGAGTCCCCCGAACCGAGCTGACCTCGTTTCGTCTCCGCAGCTGCCGCCGGCAACTGTGATTAACTCCCTCGAACCTACTTACAGATAACAAACATGCAAGATTTTAACTTACCACCTAGACTGGGCTCGATGCAGCCGCCTCACACGCAGGACAGCGGCCGCGCCCGCGATTCCCTCGACGAGACCTGCTCCAACTACGAATACGAACTTGGAGATAGACAACCCATCGAGGAGCTGGTGGCCAGGAGCCAGAATGTGCTCGACGGACTCAAGGATGGCTCCGTTGCTCAGCAGCCCGAGTACGAGGCCAACTCGGAGGGCGAGTACGAGGTCGATAGCGACTATGGATCGGCCGGCGGCCCCATCGGCCGCATGCCTAGTAGGCGCTTTGGCAGCCGGTCGTCACGCAAGGGCAGAAGGGGCAAAGCCGCAGGAGCTCGATCCCTGGCCGCGCCCGAGCCAGTCGCGGTCGCCTCCATGGCCCTGGCACACGGCATCGGCACCCCGCGAGACGGACCTTCGATCCGCCCGCTGCCGCTGGCCATCCGCAAAACCCCCAGTGACGCATCAACCACAGGCACGTCACGCGCCAGGGCCCTGAGCCGCAAGCTGACGGTGCGCAAGCGGACGGCTTCGCAGAAGCCCTCGCTCCCTACCACCGACGAGGGCATCGACTCTTTTGGGCAGTCATGGGCGCGCATGTCCCACCTGATCCTCCGTGATCTGCCTGGAGATCCCGCCAAGGAGCACTCACAAGAACCAGCCAGCCACCAGCCCCGACAGAGCGAGGAGCGCCAGTATCGGCAAGAGGTGCAGCAGCCTCCGCAGCAGCCTCTGCAGCAGACCCCTATGGCCATGCCCCGCGCCAGCAACGACGGCTACGTCGGCAGCCACAGCGTCCGACCCAGCATGGACCGCCCTCGGAACGCCAGCGAAACGCGCCGTGTATCACCGACACTTGTTGGCCGCCAGAGCTCATCGTACCACCACCGCCTCGACGAGAAGACGCAGGCGTTTCAGGGCCAGGACGATATGGTGGAGATTCCCATTGTGGACGACGACGGAACCCGCGAGATGAACAGTGGTCGCAACCGGGCGCTGAGTCTCGACTCGCAGAGCTCGGACCAGCACCTCCCGCCCTACTCCAAGGCTCCTCTTGCCGGCCACCGTGGCCTCTCCGAGGAGGCGCGGGCCATGGCCGCCTGGGCAGATGCCGAGAGGGCCTCGATAGGATCCCGGGGCCCCATCGCCCACGGCTTCCAGCTGGCGGCGATCCTGCTTGCGCTTGTGCTGGCAATATTCATCGTCGGCATGAACATCAACATCATCGCCACGGCGGTCCCGCGCATCAGCAGGGACTTTGGCACCTTCAACCACAGCTCCTGGTACGGGGCCGCCTTCCTCGTGGCCTGGTGCGCGTTCCAGCTCATGTTTGGCCGCCTGTACAGCGTCTTCCCAGTCAAGTGGGTTTTCTCGTCGGCCCTGCTGGTCTTCGAGCTGGGTTCGCTCCTCGCGGGCGTCTCTCCCAACTCGCACGCCCTGATCGCCGGGCGCGCCATCCAGGGCATCGGCGCTGGCGGTGTTCTAGCGGGCGCCTTCATCATCAGCGCGCTGCTCGTGCCGCTGAGCAAGCGGCCGCTGATGGGTGGGCTGATGGGCGCTCTGGAGGGAGCCGCCATGATCACGGCGCCAATCATTGGCGGCGCCTTCACTGACCAGCTGAACTGGCGCTGGAGCTTCTACGTTAGCCTCCCCGTCGTCCCCATCGTTGCCGGCATCATCATCCTGTGCTTGCACGTGCCGCCCGAGCACGCCACGTATAAGGCCGTTCCCCGCGAGGAGCTTGGGGGCCTTTGGCAGCGGGCCGCACGCCTGGCTGGCAAGCTCGATCTGGTGAGCAGCCTCGCGCTGGTGCCTGCAGTCATCACCGTGCTGCTGGCCCTGCAGTGGGGAGGGTCCAAGTTCGAGTGGACCTCAGGCGCCGTCGTCTCCCTCCTGGTCGTTTCCATCCTCTTCCTGGCCGTCTTTTGCTACTGTCAACACCTGAAGCAGGACCTCGCCATGGTCCCCCCGCGCATCTTCACGCAGCGCACCATCCTCTCCGGATTCTGGTTCATGCTGTGCACCAGCGCGGCCCTCGTCGTCGTTACTTACTTTGTACGTTCTCGCCGGCCTCGACAGCTCCCCGACCGAGACCCCTTACTCTTCCTCTCCCACCTTCTGTCAAGGCAATGTTCTAACAGTTGCGCACTCTCTCTCTCTTTAGCTCCCACTCTGGTTCCAGGTAATCACCAACGCTTCGCCTTCTAACATAGGTATCCGCTTGGTCCCCATGCTGGTCGCTTTTGTCGTCGGCGTGCTCCTGTCGGGAGTATTCGTCAGCGTTACGGGCCACTACGCACCCTTGATGCTGCTCGGTACGATCCTGATGTCGGTAGGCTCAGGACTCCTCTCGACATGGACGCCAATGTCCGAGGGTGTGCTGCTGGCTGCGTTCCCGGCCATCTTTGGTGCCGGCTGCGGAATAGCCTTCCAGCAGCCCATGGTGGCGGCCCAATCGGTGCTCGGGGACGACGACATGCCCATCGGCATCTCCGTCATCCTCTTCGGCCAGGCCATCGGCACGGCCCTGGCGCTCTCGGTGGCCGAGACGGTCTTTTCCAGCCGGCTTAGAACTAACATCAGCGACATGGCAGGCGCCGCCCTTGGACGCCACAGACTGATCGAAGGCGGCGCGCAGGGCATAATCAAGGCCATCACAGAGTCTGACGGGTCGCTGGCCCAGCTAATGAAGGCCTACAACAAGGCAATCACGCAGTCCTTTTACGTCCCCGTCGCCATGGCGGCCCTCTCCGTCGTCGGCGCCGTGGCCATCGAGTGGCGCAACGTCAAGCGCGAGGAGGCGCGGCGGAGGAGGGAGGCCGAGCTAATAATGAGGGAGAAGCAGGGACCGCACCCCCACCACCAGAGATCCTTCATGGCGCACAGTATTGACCCTTGCCAGGCGGTTCCCTACAACCAGCAGCAGCAGCAGCAGCAACAGCAGTACGAGCGGCACTCGGCCGAGGCGGATGCGACCCGCCCGCAGCCCTACGACCGCACTAACTCGCGCATGGGTTCCCCGTACGACCAGCCGGCGTCCAGGATGGGCTCGCCCTACGGCCAGAGCCACCACCAGTTCGGCGTCGGCGCCGCCGCGGGGCAGCCGGCGCCCTACGCGACGCAACAGAGCAACTACTTTCCGAACAATGCTAACGCGCAGCCGGGTCTGGGCCTAGACGCGGGCAACTACAGCCAGGCGCCAGTCTCGGGCCGCTAACCACCATGGCCGGGTGTGACCGACCTTTAGGATGAATCACCGAGCCACCTGAATACCGACTAACCCTGTATCACTACCTTTTTTTTTTCTCTTTTCGGAATTTACGGCAACAGTTTTTTACGTTTGGGTTTTAATGGCGTCCTTTGGTCTCCTTTCCAACCGTTTTCTTTTCTTTCCGCCTGGCACAAACTTGCCTCTTCTTGTTTATACTATTGTTTTGTTTCGCATATACCCCTGGATCCAGAGGAAATCTCCGGCCTTTGTTCACTCGTATAATTTTGGGGGAGTTTTGGACGGCTTGATCAATTGCAAAAATTTGAAGCCCATGCGACTGTTCCATTCCGTCTCTGTTTGTGATGGCGTCCAACCATGCATGGACCTTGGGTGGCTTTTACGAGCATGGTAAGCAGCATTATTGGTGCTACATGTTATTTTGGGTAGCCGATGGGGCTTAGGCCTGCTTGTGCCGCACACTATCGCAGCCAAGGCCGCGCCGCGCGACCAACTGCCTCAGAGTAGAGCAGCTGATTCTTGAGGAGAGAAAGCTAAAGCGAGAGCAAAGAACTTCCGGGCGATGACATTAGTCCTTGGTTTGGACGTCAGCTCAGGGGCGTTGGTCCAGTTTCGGAACGGCAGCCCTACGGTCCGGACAGATACGGAAAGATGATTGGGAACCAAAATATCATTTAGGATATTTGGGAACGATAGCAAGTCCGGGCCACAAGGCGAGGAGGATCGAGGGTAGCTCTAAGCCCACGGTCAAGGCCACAAGCGCTCGCTCTTGGTAGTGGTCAGACTTTAGGGCACAGCAGCTGAGACGTTTATTTTAACGAGCCTCTTGATATTCGTTGGTTTTACTACCAGTATCCCTGCCATAGTCGAAGTGCTCTAGTTACGACGAGCAGCAACGCCGAGAAAAGATTGCCAAGAAAGGACAGACTCCATGGAGTCTGTCTATCAAGCCAAAAAAAAATGCAGCCTTGCGCTAAACTCCAATGCTAAACCCAAAAAAAAACCAGATAAACGCTAAAAAAAAACGGCAGCTAGGGCGTGCCTATAAGTGAGGAAAGAGCAAAAGATCAGAGGACAGGGGCAGCAACGATACCTTTTCGTCAGTCCCACCCCCGTTCCCGGGCCCAGTCGGACCCTCCCAGTGGCACGCCAAACTGGGCCTGCTTCTGCTCCTCGAGCTCGCGCATTGCACGCTCGGCCCTGCGCCGCTCGGCCAGGGTCGGGAACTCGGCGTCGTGCCCGACCAGGAAGCGGCCGGGGTGCACGACCGCCAAGACGACCAGGCACAGCAGCACGGGCAGCGCGTCGAGCGCGTAGCCGTACCTTTCCGACCGGAGCAGGGGCACCGCCGCCGCCCGCCGTCCCCTGGGAGGGGCCAAGGTCAAGCCGAGCTCGACGAGCCGAAAGACGTCACGCACCGTCAGTAGCGCCGCCGCCGAGCCCAGCGCCCAGTGCAGCGGCCGCCACGACCGCCGGGTCGGCTCGGCCACGCCGGCGCCGAAGCCTCGGCCGCGCTCGGCGTCGTAGCGCGCCATGCGGACGGCAAAGGCGGCCATCAGGCTCGCGAGCAGGACCGTCGTGGCCGCGTGCAGCGCCACGCCCGCCACGAGCACCTTGGACCCCGTGGCGGTGGGGTTAGTAGTGGTAGTAGTAGTAGTAATGGCAGAAGTAGACAAGAGAAGGACGCTGCCGGCGACCTGCAGCGCAAACGACACCCCGTCGAGCGACACCAGCCCCGTGGACACCCAGGCCGCCGGGACGCGACACACGGCGGCGCTGGGGGCGTAGTAGAGAACGGCGCGCGCAAAGGTCATGTGCACAAAGGCCGACGCCCACAGCGGCGCGACGCGGGCCAGCAGGGCGTGGGCGGCCGCGAGCGGCAGGGAGGCCTGGTCGCGGGAGGCGGCGGCGCGGAGCGCGTAGGACGCGGCCTCCAAGGTCGCGCCGGCCACCAGCACCCAGCAGTAGGTCTTGCGCGTCAGGACGGCCGTGGCGGCGTGCAGGGCGGCGAGGAGCGCAAAGAGGCACGCGACGGCCACGGCGGGGGCCAGGTCGAGGGGGTAGGGGTGGCGGGCGTCGCAGGCGGTCGGCGGGAGGTAGCCGTTGGTGCCGCGCTGGGCGTAGACCACGCAGCCCGAGGGGCCGGTGCGGGGCGGCCAGGCGGGGCGGGCGCCGTGGAGGTCGGCCAGGGGGAGCATGGCCGGCCGTGGTGGGGAGGGGTTAGTCTGCGGGAGTAGGAAGGGGATATGGGGTGTGATGTTAGGTGCGCGGTTAGCAGTAGCTGGAAGAGGGTTCGGGAGGGCAGCGAGGACATGACCGCGTCGGGGAAGGTTAGTACTCAGTAGGGCGTTGGCGGTGGGGGAGGCATGTCGGTCGGGTGAGTACGAGGTTGGCGTTTGGACGGCAAGTCTGAGGAAAACGTGGGCTTGAAGCCATCTTGATAGAAATGTTTCTCCAATTATCCTCTGCTGTCCAAGTGCCTCGGCGTGTTTACTAACACGTCGTTTACTATGCTAACCGTGTTAGTGGATTTGACAGACAAACTCAAGAACCTTGGCAGATCAATGGCAGATCTCGGTGGATTACGGGGTCTGGGATCTGAGATGTGCAGTCAGCACTCGCTTTCCAAGCACAAATCGATGCCTGGGGACGATCTTTGCCGAATCTGATAGTAATCCGTGACCCGCCATTATTGTCTGCATTGGGCCGCTCAGCCCCAAAAGGTTTCGAGAGCTGAAGGTCTGGTGCGACCGACCTGGTGCGGCCATCCTGATGCTTATTCTGTTGCTGCTTCTTGGTCTGGGCCTGTTTGATGTTTGACACTCTGGTGGAGATATCAGATATCAGCAGAGTATGCATTTGGAACTGCAGCACACTACGCACGAGAGACTGAAGCAGACCCTTACTGCCCTCGGCGATTGTCCATCAATACAAGAACATGGCGTCCAGACAAAGGTTGTCACACTCGAACCATCTCCATCCATCCATCCATCACGCTACCCCGAGCGGCACAGCATTCACCTCGGACAGGCAGTATCCATTCGCTCCAACACCCCAATCCCCCGACAAGCAATTCCACATTCCTTTCAGAGGCCAAGCACTGACCCCATTCGCTTGACGCGCAGATCTCGGATAACCTCCCCCAGTCCAGACGGCTACCCCCATCGAAATGCCAGGCACCCGGGACAGCCAGCCGTTGTCTCGGCCAGCCATGTCAGCTGGGGCTGGAGCCAACCCGGGGAACACACGCACTGATAAACAACAGTAACAGGCGGCAGTTATTGCCCGGCAGGGCTTCAGCTGAGTGCCACGCCCTGCTCAGCCACGCCGCTGCCCACCACTTCTCGGGCCACCACTCCTTGGGCCAGCCTGACTGACCGCTCCAAAAATAGTGCTGCTTCAACTACCGCGAACCCCAGATCCGCGTCCCAAGTCGTCTGAAGCCCAAGACAAGAGCTGCACTAGTCACCTGCTCTCTCACAGTTCGGACGAGACGAGACGAGACGAGACGCGATGCCTTCATTTCGGGCTCCTGCAGTCAGCAAGATTGGAACAAGCAGCCCCTTGTTTCCTCTTTCTTCCCGCTCTTTGCGACATGTGCTAACATCAGTCCAGGAAATAGATGACGTTACATGGCCTGCCGGCGCCACCGTGGTTGTGCTGGGCCGCGGCGAGACAGGAAACAAAAACCAACAACCGCGACGCTAACCAGGACGGACTGAGGTGATGGCTAGCCAGAAAAGACCCAGAAAAGACCCAGCCAGCCAGGGCTTAGAGCGTGCAGGGTGAGCTCGGTACCTGACTGCTGGCTGGCAGCCAATCGCTTATTGCTGGCTTGGCTGCAGGATCGCAGCAGTGGCTTGCGTCTGGCCTTACTGGCCCTGCCTGCGTTTGTGGGTGCTGATTGGGCCATTGGATGCGTCCTGTGGGCCCGCCCCTGTATTTTGTAATCGCACGCCCCTCCCTTTTGGGCGAGGATCTGCACCTCGGATGCAAATCAAAGGTGCCAATTTACTGCTAAACCTATTCTCGGCTTTCCTGCCAGCAGCGATTCCGAGCATCGAACCTGCCAATTTCCATTTGACCTCTGCATGTGCTCTCCACCCCACGCCCCACTCCCCACGCCCCACGTCATCTATCGTCCCGACTTGTCGGCACAAACGAGACACCCTCTCTTTTCTGATTGTCTCCTCCTTAGACCCGCCCCGGCCAGGCCAGGCCACCGCCTCCCCGCGCAGTAAGAGCGCGATGCTTCAGCCGCCCTGCTCACTGTTTCTGGCCAGTGCCATCTTACTGTTTGGGCCGCAGTTGCTCCGCGCTGCCTGCCCACCCATGGTCCAGGTCTAGGCCGCACGCCCTGGCCTGCTGTGCTCTGCTGTGCTCTGCGGCGTGTCGCCGTGCCTGGCCTTGCAGAAGCTGCTGCATGGTGTTTGATATGTACGGCTTATATGTACGGCTTGGAAGTTAAAGTTGCCCGTCTCCCCCACTCGTCATGCTCCATCTCATCTCGACATACCACATCACATTACTTCACATCACATCACCAACCACATTGACCACAGCTCCACCTCGACACACTAACAGACATCTAATCCTGGTATCGGCTCGTGAATCTCTTCTTTTCCTTTTGTCTTTTTTCCTTTGTTTCCCCTTTTCTTTGTCAGCAACACTCGGCAACAATGTCCTTCCAGCCCATGCCCCAGCAGCAGCTGCCCATGATGAACAACAGCAGGTCTCAGACCATCTCGTACGCCGACCTCATGAAGCCCGACGAGGACTGGCGCGTGCTCCCCGACGCCGCCGAGCGTAGGAAGATCCAGAACAGGCTGGCCCAGCGTGCCTACAGTACGTCAACATGACCACCTTTCGTTACCCTCCAACTTCGACTAACAGCGTCCAGGGCGAAACATGCGTGACCGCACAAAGGAGCTCGAGAAGCTCAAGAAGGAGCTGGCCAAGCTCAAGGAGAACAAAGAGGCCGACCAGGGCCGCCTGTCGCCGCGCCTGACGCCGCCCATGCAGCACCAGCAGGTGCAGCGCCCGCCCATGCCCATCATGGCCACGCCCGAGGACTTCCTCTTCGACGGCAGCGTGCAGGACGCCGGCATGGGCATGCCCACACCCCAGTGGGCCACCGAGCCCTTCCCGCAGGCCAACTTCGCCGACCAGGGGCTGCACATCGACCCTGGCTACTTCATGGCCGGCACCGACGCGTCGGCGCCCTCGATCAAGCGCCGCCGCGCCGGCAGCGCCACCGACGAGGCCATGACGCCCACGCGCCAGAACTCGGGCCTGTCGGTCGGCTCGGGCACCTTCCGCCCGGGCCACCAGCGCGCCCGCTCCCACACCCCGATGTCGTCGCCGCCCATGGTGCAGCCGGCCACGCCGCCGCCGCAGCCGGGCGCGTCCATGGCCGACATGCAGCAGCAGGCCTCGCAGCTGCTCTCGCTCTCGCCCTGCGGCTTCAACCTGGGCGGCGGCGCCACCGACTCCATGGGCCTGCCGCCCATGGACGCGGGCTCGCCACCCTTTACGCTCGACGGCTTTACCGATCCCATGCAGACTGGCAACTTTGACCAGGGCCTGTGGACGCCGCCCATGCCCGGCAGCGGCAGCATGTACGGGTCGTTCCTGACGCCGCCCACCAACGACGGCGCCGCATCACCGCCGTGGCAGCAGTCGACGCCCTCGACCATGCGCAGCGAGGCCATGGGCCGCTCGCGCAGCGCCAGCGCCTCGACCGTCAGCCGCTCCTCGCCCTTTTCGTCGGCCGCCAGCCAGTTCTCGGCCGGGTCGCCCAACCTGAAGCCCGTCAACGTCGTGGGCCTGAACCTGAACATGAACCTGGACGGCTGCGACGACGACAGCAACAGCAACAACACCAACAACACCAACAACACCAACTTTGCCGACCTCCCGGCGCCGCTCACGCAGACCAACTCGACGCTGCTGCACCTCGCCGTGGCGGGCGGGCACATCCAGGTGCTGCAGCTGCTCCTGCAGCGCTGCGACGTGCCCATCAACGCGCGCGACGCCGCCGGATACACGGCCCTTCAGCGCGCCGTGTGCGCCGGCCGCATGGAGATGGTGACGATGCTGCTCGAGGCCGGCGCCGACTTCAGCGCCGGCCGCCAGGACGAGGCGCCCGTGGAGGGCTGCCAGGCCGAGATGGCCGCCGACGCCGCCCCGGCCTCATAGAGCTCTTGAGAGCTCGACGCCTTGTACGCCGTATCATCTCTTACTGTTTTGCATTCTCTTTTCTCGAGTACCCCTCCTGCGTTTCATTTTCATTTTCTCTGGCATAGCATTGCGATTTGGAGCATTCAGGTGGTGTTTCTACTGGGCATGGCTTGCATTTTCTTCTAGGGTTGGGGTTTCGGGTCTTGTCTTTTCTTTCCTCTCGTTTCTTCCTTTTGGAGCATGGGTCGGTGTTGACAAAATCATGGCAGCATTTACAGGATTCGCGGGCTTCTTTTTACCAAATACCACTGCATAGAAACTGGAGTCTTGGGCGGCATAATGGATTTACGTGGCATGTTCTTCACCATTGTTTCTGTTGATGCTCGTGATTTGCTGTCTGCTATGTGATGGGCCATGTTTAGCGCTGCTTACAGCCAGGGGCCCCTGAAAGGAAGCGGCTATCGCACATTTTGACACACCCCATTTAAACCGTCGCACTCGCAGTAGTGGCGGCGGCAACTTGCGGTGGCTCGTCGGCGAGGCGGAGTCCGATTGGGCGCGGGTGCAGAAGCGGCAGGGGAAATGAGCTGTGGTTGGTCTGCGGTCTGTTTGATCCTATTCCTTCTTTTGAGATTTCAAGGCCAGCCAGGCACCCTCCAAACGGGACAAGCGCTAGCCTTTTACGTGCGTCCTTTTTGACCGCGTGCTGTGCAGAACGAAAAAAAAAAAAAAAAAAAAAGACCCGAGCGCGGCCGTCGTAAACAGAATAGCTCGGCTGACGCGGGCGGCAAAGACGAGGGGCAGGCCCCCTGCAAAAGCCGCAAGCTAACATAATCAATATTTGGTCATGTCACCTGTGGATTTGGCATGGAAACAGGTTCTAGCCGGTTCGGGCTCATGATCAGATCATGCTTTGGGAGCGGGTGAGTGTTCAGGCGGGAAAGAGCAAATACCAACAGACCGAAACGGCGCCGAGTATGTACGGCGTAGCTCACCGAGCAGGGCATACGGGCCGGCAGCGTCGCATTCTACAAGCCAACAGACGAGCCGGCGCAACAGAGCATCGTTGTTGGCGCAAGGGAAGGGTGGGGGGACGAAGCCGACGATCAGCGGAGGCAGTGGGAATCTGATGGACGGCTGCAGGGAGGGGGTGTGGGTAAAATAAAATGATTACTACAGGGAACGGCTGCAACCGCACATTGTTCGGACGAGAATCAGACGGGATTGTGTAGTTGTGCCTGCACAAGCCAAGCACAAAGGTACAAAGGTGTGATGTGCACAAGGCCCGTGTGCTTTAGCTCCAGGAACAGGCCCAATCCGGAAGGGCTTGGAGAAAGTGTGCAGCCACGCCGCACCAGCCATCGGAAAAATTGAGAGATTGCGGGGAAGTTTTTGCTGCTAAAAATACACGTCAGTGACGGACCCATTTCGCCTTTAACAACAGTAAGCGTGCAATCGGTTGTTAGCGCAGCCTCAACCACTTCTTAGCCGTCTCTCCTGCACGGTTCTTCTTCTCCTCCAGCCACCGAGATCCTGTCGGGTTGCTATTATCAGAGGTGCTGATGCTGTTGGTGCCGGAACGGTCAGGCACCAGGTCACTACCCAGGCACCCCGAGCCACATGGCATCCAGCACAGAACCCAGCACAGAACCCAGCAGAGCATGCACCCCACAGCTGTCAGTGCTTACTGCAAAACCACATTGTTGGCTGCTCACCACCACCATGGCCGAGCAGAGCCCCAGGGCCAGGCAGTGCTGCCGTCGGCTAGGCTGCCAGGAAAAATAGAGGAGAATCTATATGCATCCACTACCGGCCCGGATGCTACCATCTTTACCATGTCCTCCTCCACATTCCCGGCCACGAGGGTCTTGTTCCACAGCAGCAACACATTACAAACAACTCCCTTGCAGGACCCAGGACAGGACCCAGTAACAGGACCCAGGACAGAACCCAACAGCAGGACCCAGCTCGGGACGGTCCCGCCTAGTTATATCTCCGTCTCTCCCTATCCAGCCGACATCTAGTGACGGAAACACACAACCACCGGGGTCATATCCCCTCCCTTTCCTTACTTCTTTTCCTTGCCTGTAACATCCAACAATGCAAAACGACATCCACGTCGTCGCCCTCGCCCAGGTCCAGGGGGAGGCCGAAAGGAGAGAAGCCATCAGGGCACACTACCAGAAACAAGCAGCCACGGGCGCCGTCGGGCCCAAGTGCCGGTCGGCCCTGCTCAGGTCGCAGAGCCTGGGGCAGGCCACGGTGCACGCCGTCTTTGGCGGCCAGGGAAGCCACGCGGGCTACTTTGAGGAGCTGCGGACGGCCTACAAGACGTACGGGCCCCTGGTCGAGGACTTTGTCGAGCCGCTCGCGCGCGCCCTGGTCGAGCTCTCGCTGGACGGCCGCGCCCGCGCCGAGTTCGCCCCCCACGGGCTCGACGTGCTGGCGTGGCTGCGGCACGAGGACCGCACGCCGCCGGCCGAGTACCTCGACGCGGCGCCCGTCAGCTTCCCGCTCGTCGGGCTCCTGCAGCTGGTGCAGCTCGCGGCCGTCTTTGTCGGCCTGGGCTGCGGGCCCGAGGACCTGCCGTCGCTCTTTGGCGGGGGCTTCACGGCCCGCTCGCAGGGCGTCGTGGCCGCCGTGGCCGCGGCCGAGGCGGCCAACTGGCCCGGCTTCCAGGAGGCCGCGCTCAAGGCCGTCACGGTCCTGTTCTGGACCGGCGTCCGCTGCCAGCAGGCCTTTGTCGACGCGCCCCTGCCCGACGGCAAGGCGGCGCAGCTGGAGCAGGCCGGCTTCGGCGCGCCGTCGCCCATGCTCGCCATCAGCGGCCTGCCCCGCAACAAGTTCGAGCGCGCCATCTCCGAGATCAACGCCTTCTTGGCAGAGGACGCCCGCATGGTCGTCTCGGTCGTCAACTCGGCCTGCGACGACTTTGTCGTCAGCGGGCCGCGCCGCACCCTGGCCGCGCTGGTGGACGCGCTCGAGGGCGTGGCCGGGCCGGCGCTCGAGGGCCGCCGCCGCTGCCGCGTCCGCTTTCTCCCCACCAGCGTGCCTTGCAACAGCTTCCTCCTGGCCAGCGCCGTGCCCATGATCGAGGAGGACCTGCGGGGCGTGACGGTGCCGTCGGCGGCGCTGCGGATCCCCGTCAACCAGCTCGTCGACGGCGTGGACCTGCGGGCGGCGTCGCACAACCTCGTGCCCACCATGGTGCGCCTGATGGCGTCAGAGCCCGTCGACTGGTCCCGCGCCGAGTTTGCGGGGGTTACGCACGCTGTCGACTTTGGCCCGGGGTGTGCTGACGGCGACGGCGCCGGCGCTCTTGTGCACCGCTTGAGTGCGGGTGTTGGCCCTCGTGTTCTGGTTGCTGGCAGGCTCGAGATGCCCGCCGGTTCGGAGCTGGGCGCCATCACTGAGCTTTTCGACCATGTTGACCCGGCCTTCGCTCGAGATGACAGCCAGGCCGACGCCATCCATGACAAGGCCGGCCTGCTCATCCAACCCCAGCCCTGCACAGAGACGCTGGCCAAGTCGTTTCGTATCGCATCCCTGACCACCCAAGAGCTCGCCTCTGTCCTCTCTAGCGGCGATGATAGCGGTTGGAGAAAGGCGCTCTTCTCGTCACCCGCCATCGAGCGGGACGGCGCCGTCGTGCCCAACCCCGTGCTCAAGCTCATCTCGTCAGCCGCGGCCGACACGGTCGACGTGCTCGACGACAAGCTGTCGTTCCACCGCGCCGGCGACCTCATCCTGTACGTGTCGCGGGGCGCCGACGACGACATCACCGTCATGCCCTTTACGTGGGTCACGGCCAGCAACAACCTGGTCTCGCTCGCCATGCGGTTTGAGTACCGCGCCGGCGCCAACGACGACACCATGCCCACCATGCCCACCATCCGCGAGGTGACCAAGGACCGCGACCGCCGCGTCTACGACATGTACCGCCAGCTGTGGCTGCGCGACGTCGCCGACCGCGCCGCCACGGAGCAGGGGCAGCCCGAGACCAACGTGTTTGAGGCCGCCGTCGCCGTCGAGCAGGACCGCGTCGACGCCTTTAACCGCGCCGTCGGGAACAACACCATCGGGAACAACACCACTACTGCTAGTAGTAACAACGTCCCCGTCGATTTTGCCATGGTGGCGGCCTGGAAGCCCATCTCGCAGGCGCTGCTGCAGGACCCCGTCCAGGGCGACCTGCTCTCGCTCGCGCACCTGTCGAGCAGCTATGAGGCGGCACCGGGGGCAGCCCCGCTCACCGTCGGCGAGTCGCTGCTGGCGCGCGCCTACGTCTCGTCCATGACCGTCGACGCCGCCGGCAAGACGGTCGAGGTGGCGTGCCAGCTGCTTCGTGACGGCGGCGGCGGCGACGTCGCCTTGACGCTTCGTTCGCGCTTCCTGTTCCGCGGCGGCCGCCACGACGCCTCGTCAGCCTTTTCCCGCGCCGTCGACGACAGGCACGAGGTGCTGCTGGCCACGCCCGGCGACCAGGCCGTGCTGCTCTCGCAGCCGTGGTTCCGCCCGGCCGGCTTCCACGACCTGGACCGCGCCGCGCTCGAGTTCCGCGTTTGCACACTCGCTCAACGCGGCGAGCACACCACCACGGGCGACGTCTTTTTGCGCCCGCGCCATGGTGGCCACCTCGTCCATATGGCCACCATCTACAGCCACGGCGTCAACACCGCCGCCAACCCCGTGACGGCATATCTCGCCCGCGCCGGCAGGCCACTTAACCGCACCGCACCTGATGAGAGCCAACCTACTACCACAACCACCACCACCACCACCACCACCACCACCACAACCCTCAGCCTCGTCATCCCCTCCCCAACCACCACCCAGGACCCAACCACTCCGTCTTCCCCTGCCTCCTCCCTCAACCCACACCACAGTTCGCCCATGTTCGCCGCCCTCGCCGACCTGCCGAGCGCCATGGCCCGAGGCGTCACCTTCGCCGCCGCCGCCCGCCGTCTCGTCGAGCAGCACGTCGCTGCCACCACCTCGCCGGGCTGGGTCGTGCGCCGCTTCGACGTCGGCTTTGCCGCGTCGTCCGCCCCGCCGCCGCCGCTGCTGCCCGGCCACGAGCTGACCGCCACCCTGACCACCACCACCACCACCACCAACAAGGCCAGCCGCACAGTCCACGTGTCCGTCGCTGGCGCCTCGTCCCCCACCGCGCTGCTCACAGCCGAGGCCGTCGTCGAGAACCCCGCCCTCGCCCTCGTCGCCGCCGCTGCCGCCTTCACCCCGCCGCCGCCAGAGCTGTGTACCAGCCCCGTACCGACGGCTCCCCCGGCCCGCAACGCCTCGCGGAGCCCGTCGTTCCGCCGCCCGCGCATGCCGTCGTTCCGGCGGTCGTTTTCGCGGAGCTCTTCCTCTTCCCCATCCTCTGATCACCACCACCACCACCACCATGACCACCACAACCACCAAGTGCCCCTCGTCAGCTTCGGCTTCGGCTTCGACGACGACGCTACCCCCACCCGCGCCGACCGCTTCCGCGGCTCGTGGGACCGCTGGATGGGCCGCGCCGAGGTGGCCGCACCCGGCTTCGCCATGGCCCGCGCCCCGGCGTCGGTGATTCGTGTCTGAGCGGGGCGTGTTTTTTTTTTTACCTGCATCACATAACATCATCGCATGCATGCTATATTTTACACTGTTCATATTACTTGTATCTACCTCCTTCCGTTCTTCCTCTCCTTTCGCGTCAAAGCATTCGGGTCGGAACAGGTCTTCAGGCGTCTTGTTTCTTGCGGCTATCATTTACAATTGCTTTTTTTTTTTTTGGACAAAAAGGTATACCACATAGGGAGGGTCTGCATCGGCTTGGGGAGTTTAGGGTATCGGGTCTGCTTCCATGAATGAAAAAGGTGCTCTATTACGCTGCAGCAAATGCAACTCGTTCCAGCACTTGAACCGCCATGACTATGAAGGAGAATCCGGCAGCCTCAGCATGGCCGGGGGCAGGTGCAGCGTCTTGAGTATGTCCTGCGACGAAACGCCCGAAAGCGCCAGCTC